AAAAACGACGTGGTCGGTTCGGCGCCGCTGATGGTACCATTAACGGTGTTTTGCAGCTCGCTTCTGTCGTCCCTGCTCGTATATCTTGGCAGGGCCGCAGGTCCGAAATATCATATACGCACGCACGCACGTATTTGGGGATACAAACCTGGGTACATACACCATCTATACCTACCTCGCACCTACATACACACACATACATACACATATACATACCTCGTACAGACACACACACACACACGCACATATATGGCTGACATATTATTAGTGAGCCTCGCACCGTCCCCTAGTGTCACAAGGCTACGCTATATGCATAGGTATGGTATGTAAGGAGTCCAACACGCTGTAGTTTCCCGCACGTGCTGTCATGGTACTACTCCTAGTCTCCTCCTTGGCTTATTCTTAAACCACCACACGCCGCGCTACTTGACGTGGCATTTCCTGATCATTCCCTTATACGCGCTTACTCTCGGGAGAATGGAACAACAACAAGAAAATAAATGCATCACTTTGGATTACGTCCCGTTCGTAGCGGTGCTTAAGTCGGCTTAGCTAGGAAGACTGGGCGACTGGGCGAGTCGGCAGCTGAGCTATCCCCATTGCAGCTCAGCTGCTTACTCTGTTTCTGCTATGCTCTGCTACACAACTTTTCGTATCTTCCGCTCGATATCATCTCTCTCCTGCAGACTTCTGCGTACCACAGGAGTGTCAGATTCTGTGGGGATAGTGAAACGTCCCACAGGCCATCTCTTGTCTCACTTCTAAAAAGGTTGGACGGCGCGGCGTCCAGAACTCGTAGAACTTCCCCTGTCGAAATCAATGCGTCGGTTGGATCTGTACGATTCCTGGGTACACATCTCTATGTAATCCCGGCGCAATGCCGTGATACCTGGACGCCTCATCTCTTGCCTCGCCCAATGCGTAACCTTAGGTACAGTTGGCAATCCGGATCGTATGTAGGTATGTATTTGCAAGGCCCGTCCTTGTAAATTGGGTTATGCGTGTCTCGCGGAGGTGGTTTCTGCACCGACATGCTCAACATAATGCCCGTGCGGCCATATCGGTAACTAACCTTGGAAAGTCAATCTCCTTTTTTTTTTCTCTACCACGCTGGGCCACAAACGCACCATAGCCGAATCACTCATCATGCCACATCATCCAACTACCTGGGGGCAAACGGGAATCTGCGGAGATGGAATGACCCCAAAACACACGCCCGACTTCGCAGACAAATAAGTCAAAGTCTGATACATCACATCTGTATCCTGTACGCCCTGGCCGAAGATGTGGTCGTCCATCGTGGAACTCTATCCCGCAGCAGCGGTGGGCCGAAATGGTTCCCTGCGCGATCGAGAAATATTTTTACCTCAGGCGATATGGCGCTTGCTTGTCAGGGAGACCACGCGAGCCAATTCCCCACGTCGCCTCTCCGTTTGGTCGAATGTCCCGTATTACGTCGTGCAACCCCCATGTTTTATATGTATATTTGATGCGGCAAGGCCTTCACCCTACTGGACGGGGGCAATCCGGCGTCGCCAGGCTCCGGTGCCGCGAGAAGTAAATAATCTGTTTGAGCTGTCTCTCGAGCTAATTTTTTCATCTCCCCTTTCTTTCTTCCTCCCTGATCTCATAGCTCGTATGAACGAGAGAAATCGGCTGACGTCTAGACTGATCGTTGTCTTGGTGCGCGACTTTCGAGATCTGTATTTACGTCCGCTTCCCCGCTTCGCCACGCAGGGCGAGTTCAGGTACGAAGGCGGTTTGTCTTTCCCCTCCCTTGTCCCACCCGTGGATTTGGGGGTTAAGGAAAACGATGAGATCCCTGCGATGGGGGCGATAGGTGGAGGATGCTGTGCGATATGGGAATGGTGCCGATTGTCGCTTCTGTTCTGACAACATGCTGTTTGTCAGGCGAGAGTCTCGACATGGGCAAGACAGATATGCCCAGCTGTGGTAAGCGATACGCTGTGTGAAGCCGTGCTCATTTTTGTCCATCGCCAAGCCAAGCCTTCTTAAGATCTATGCAAGAGAAGACAGGGGTAAAGGGGTTCAAGCAGAATTGCGGCGGTGCCGTAACTCCGCGGAACCTTCGGCACCTGGTCAGATCCACGGTGGCTTGCCAAGCCGGGGACGCTGAAAGGTACAAGTTCCGCACCGTCAGCATCTCTTGCCTGTTCTCATCCCATCCCCTGTCTTGGCCCTGGGGTTGAATGCAGGCGGCCTCGGGAGTGGGTGATGAGGGAGCCGCGTATGCAGAATGCGCTGTGAGGCCTTCGTTGTTTATACGAGTAGGACTTTAGGACTCCATGTAACATAACCAAGTATAGTCATAATACGAAAAAGAGGACCTTATAGGCTATACTTGCTGTCTGAGCCGTGCCCCGGTGCGGTTGTTGCCCGACTAGTCCTTGCGTAGGTAAAGATATGCAAAAAGGAGTAAAAAGTGATATTAAGGAGAGTGAGAATAGGTGTTTATTAGTTTTCCGGAGAGATCCAATAACAGTGTCAAGTCCTACGCTTATAACTAATATTAACAGCCCCTCCCGACTACGTAATTTGCTGTCATTGGCGAGAACTCGGAAGCAGCCGCCCCAATACGAGGTATTTGCAAGGGACTCCTAACGCCCTTTGTATGTATTAAGACGTTAATATGATCTGACGTACCTAACATAGTTCTTTTAGTAGTGTATTATGGCGTCTAAGAACCGGCTAAGAAGTGTTCAGTTTCCAGCGAGACTTCTAGAGCTAGGGCTGGCTCTGCTCTCATCCTTAGCTGTCATGCCGAGCAACAATCCTGTCTAGCATAAGTAGGTACGTTTGATAATGAATCCAGAGACGAAAAAGCAAAAACAACCCTGAAGTTCTCACTTACAAACGTACGTGGGTGTTCCCATTATTCGTCGTGGTAAGACGTCACCCCACCACAGCCCCTATTCATCTATCCCTCCGGATACTAACGATTAAAGCCTTGGAAGAAGGTATTATACTTAACCCTGCGATATCTCTAATCCCGACATAGTTATTTACGCCTCGTATGCTTTTCGGGCATGCTCTATACGATATGCGCCGTGGAGGTGGACATTGGTAGAGAAAGAGAGACTGGGGTTGTCTCAGTGGCTTCGACGCATGAGAATGCGGGATTTAGGACTATCTTCCGTAAGCTACAGGGATTCGATTTTGAATCAAGCAAGGCGGTTGCCTAATGGGGTCAATTATACTCGTGTTGCTTAATACGCGTAATAATAGTATGGTCTGCATAGGTATCTCGATCTAAGCCACCCCTATGGTGTTCATATCGGGACCAATTAATAAGGAGCAGTTTTTTTGCTAGGGTATATAGTGTAAGTGGAATTGTAGTATATACTGTACCTTGTAAATTGTATAGAATGGGTAGTATTTAAGGCGCTGCTTAAGTGACAAGTAGTGACAAGTAGTGGCAAGTAGTGACTAGATGTACTGCTGATCGCACCCTGTATTTAGACGGTGTTAGATTGTAACTACATCTCGTTTTGACATTGATAGGACTCGTCATTGGGGTCCGTAGTACTTGGATGGGTTCAAATTACTGGAGTTGGTGAGGTCTATATGATCTTAATATGGTATAACTAAGCTACCTAGATTGCGCGAGAGAGTTTAGTGGTCAATTGCGGCTGCTGGCTTACTCAACTATGCATACTTAATTTGTACACCCACCCCAAATATCGATTCCCTCGAGTAATAGAACAGAGAAAACGGCGGTGGTAGTACCAGATATATTACTAGTTCAACCGTTAGGTTCAAAACAAGCTTGACCTGATGATAAGACTAAGACACCCCTTAGGATTCTTTTCTTTAAGAATTACCTAAAGTACTAGTATCAATAAGGTACCTCATATAACTTCAGAGACTTGTTCCTAGCTTTTCCCCTAGCTCTGTACTACCAAGGTAGCTTTTAAAGCCTTGTTTTCTGTATTTCGTATGAATTAGATAGGCAGAGATAATACAGACGAGGGCTATGATTACAAATATCTATCAATCGAAATGATTCAAGCTAATACTTGGTTTTCGAGTACTTAGTAGGTACTATAAGGATTCTCAAAGTCCAATGGAAGGCTACTTAAATTCTTGTAACTATAACTGTTATAACGACGGCATGAATATTGAAGAGAACAGATGATACAATATATCCATTAAGTCCTATAATTTCATACGTTTATATATCAATGTATTCATGAGATTATTGGTTGTGACCTATTACCTTACAGACGTCGGAACTAACTTGTAAGGCACTCCTATCTTCATCGACCACGACAGAGGAACACACGAGTACTATCTATTTGGATTTTTCTGAAAGATATTATCGGTCAGGGCAATCTAATATTAGGTAACTACGTATAACTACGTTATTTGTGATATAGACTTCTGGTAGGTAATAGCATCAAACCTAATGGATGCCTAGGTCAGTGTTCAGTGTCGGATTTATACCCCTGATGAATGTCATACATACAGTGAATGTCAGGAGAGGTGTATTGAACTATTAACGCCTGCCTTTCTACCCTCTTACGAAGGCGCTGCGCGTCTCTTATATACCCGATCCTAGTAGACCTACTCCTAAATCTACCCCTAACCCACTTATACACTGATAGTCAGTGCCCAAGATAATAGGGCATAATCGTATCGAGGAAATCAAGCTTAAGATAATATTCAAGTGGCGGTCTTTGATACTATAAAATTACCTTATATAAAGGGTTAAAGAGCCCCAGGATTCTAGAAATGCCCCTAGATTTCTACATATTATAAATCCTATTACTGAGCTACTAGCAAGCTAAGTACTACCCATTGCTTTTACTATATACCCCGGCCTCAAGTTAAGAGCTACCTACATACCAACGCCGTATTCTTCCCACGAGTATTCGAGGCCATTATTTTATTTTATTTGCGGTAAAGTAAGCCAGACCTTGCCCTATGCCATATATACATATCCCCCTTTTCAATATTACATTACTTCTCAATAGGTAGGACTTTCGTCATTGTCCTCGATGAGCTGTCTGTGGCCGTGCAACAAACTGGATATCGACCTCTGTTGTTCGTACAATACCATTGAACGTCATAATCTCTTCTTCGCTGGTTGTCGGTGAGTGACCCCGTATCTCTGTCCGCCTCTTCATGTCTCTAAGAGCAAAAGACGACGTGCCATAGAGATGATCTCCCTTAGAGCCGTTACCGTTTCCGCTTGATTTGTTGGCATTCCCCGTATCGTTTAATGCATAAGGCCCGTCTCGGTAGCGGTAGTTCTGGTTCGAAGTTCCACGGAGAGAGGAGAAGAACCGAGGGAACCAAACCATAAATAGGGGCCGTAGTGCTGGTCCCGATGCTGTGATTATCGCTAAGTTTGTTTCGACGGCGGAATACGTAAACCGAATATCGTACGAGTAGTCGTATTTCATCGGGTAGAGCGAAGTCTCGATCATCCATAGCAGCCGAAGAATACTAACCACAGTAACGCTAAAAATAAAAAAAAGTCAGTTTCCGGGCTTCCAATTCGTCCAACTGTGAGTATGATGACTTACACGGCTCCTAGTAAGAACACGACCATTACGGCGAACTTGATCTTGGGTGCCATTTTCAATCCCATGAATATCCAGAAAGGGAGGGCCAGAACGAGTACATCAGTGAATATCGTCAATGCCGCAGTCGTCACATAGAATGTCCCAGTATCGATACACTTTCCCGGCATAGTTGGATTGGTGATACGTTCCCAGAAATATGAGATCGGAGAGCACTGGAAGACCGCAGTCACGAAGATTGCGATCATCAATCCAAGGGTGAATATATTGAGGGCGTGAATCGAATATCTGATCCGTCGTCTTTGCCCCCCTATTCGTAGGAGGAACGTCAACACGGAGCACTTGACAAGCGCGAGTATCGGGTTATACAGAATCTGTAACACATAGTTCCAATACATTCCGAGGCTGACATCGGCCGTCATCGGAATATCGTAGACGTGGACTCCTAGGTATGCCGTTCGCATGCCTATCGCGGAAAAAGTTAGTCACGCCCGTCGCTCCATATGACATATAGTCAAGCCAATCCCCGTCCTAGTACATACCCATATAGGAACATCCCGTCTCGGCGATCGAGAACATCTTGATACATGTGAGCTGCGGTATATTAAAGAGCAAGAGCCACCTCTTACCATAGCCACGCATGCCAGGCCATCGTCTGCGAAATATCATCAGCTACCGATCAAGGAGAAGAACCAGATATTCGATAAAACCCCATCCCTAACTTGCTATTCGATAACTTACCCCAGCCAAACTGCCTGCTTCTTACTCTTCCGTAAACTCTAAGAGCCACGACAATAAATGCGATGGCCGGGAAAAAGAACAGTATGAATAAACCGCCATGCTGGAGGGGCGAATACGGATAGTCGTCGGTAACGGCCCCAGAAGGCTTGCCTATCCCCTCAGCGGACTGTCGTCTAGCTACGTCCGATATAAACTCGTATAGAGAAGACTCCATTGCCTTTCGAGCTGCCAGTTACGCAGCAGATCCGTTAGGCCATCCAGAGATTAAGTGGCATCGCCCGAGCTGCAAAGAACGGCATCCTCTATATAACAATATAGCCCTACATATTCGGGACAGATTACGCAGCATGCAGTTCGCGTCCAGGGGCAGCTCCGACGGGCTTGCATACGCCATAAAGTTTCCTTGTTCGAAGACAGTTCTGAATTCAGCCTCTTTACTTCACTACACCACATCCCTATTTGGTTAAAAGCAGTTATTTTATTAGGATTGGTGAAGTACGGACGGGATCTTTCTGCAGCCAAGATGTTTTATATGAACTACTATATGATTCTTTGCACACGATTGCTTGTGCGTGTTGATTTCAACGGTATTTACCTGCAATGCGACGGATAGCGCCTTCGGGCCTATCCGAATTACTGGTTACTATATCTAGCAGCGAAGACTTATGCTCTGTTATTTCTAACTATTCGGACAAGATTTAGATTCTGTCAAGTTAGATCAAAGAAAGAGGTCAGGGAACCATGATAGGGGGTATCCGAAAGAACAGCATAAAATGAATCCATGTGCCGTGTTTACAAATCCAATAGCAATTGTCTCATGGGCACGCGCTCAATTCGGTGCGATTTGCCTTCGTGACTAGGAATGTTTAGGTACTTATGCGTAGTATTACCGATGCCAGTCTTCGAAATCAACACTCTCAATGGTCAGCTATCGAATAACAACCGAGATTCGACTTTCTATAGCGTCGTAGCGCAGGGAAAATACTGGACACCACGGCATTATCGCTGCGAAGATCACAGGGATATAATGCGGAGGAGGAGCTTAGTTCCTGCAAATCTAGAACACGGCCCGTCTTTGAAGTGCATTATTTACGAAGTCATACCTGGGGTAAAAGTCACCTACACTCCCTGCATCGGGGATCGCATCTCGTAACGGCTTAGCAGCCCCTCGTCTTATTCGTCGCCCATTTTATCCAGACTACCCGTGAATGCAACCGGCTTGCAAGGGTCCGGGCAGAATTCAAACCTCTCTCCTTCACGGCTTTATCGGGATGGGGAAATAAATTTTCTTTCGTATACTAGCAAATATGGTCGCGTACTCGGCCACTTCAACTGATATTTACCAGGCCTGGTACTTTCTATGAGGAGGAATCCAGGTTATTTGAGACTGCTTCTAGATCATCAGCATCAACCAATAACCGTCGATCAACTTCCTTATACTAGCTTTCCTTACGAATGTGAGAATATGATACCCTTAGATATAATGGTAATATCATGCCCTTAGATGTAATGTTTACTATCTCGGCCCTGCAGCTCTGGGTAGCTTACCTAGGACTCTTACCAAATTATACCCATCTGCGGGTCGTCGGCAAAGCTGTCGGAGTTTGCCCGTCTTCCTAAGCTATCTGGACCTCGTATGAGGGATCTGCAGCTACTGTAGTACTTCGCTGGTGAGCGGCGTCGTTCATCCATGCTTGATGCCCTGGCCACGCAGACGGACGACGGTGCCCTAGCCGGCATCCCTACCGGATCCGAAGGTATATCGTAAGATACATGAAGCTATATGAAATATATACGGCGATGATGGACTCGCTCTATGCCATCAATCTAGTATACTTAGAATCTCTTATTCATCCCAAGTTGCACCACTTGAGCTCGTGCCGGCTCTCTGGGCACGTGTAGCGCCGATGTCTTACCTTAGGAAAGCCGTCGCGGCTACTCTCTTGGCTCACGTGCTACCCTTCGTGTGTTCCCAGACAATTGTCATAGGCAACTCAACAGTTCGTTAGTTTATACAACCCACAGCTAGCGTGAGATATAACGGCTAACTCCTTCATCAGCGGCCAACGAGTCTACGGTTGCCCCGGCCGTAGCCAGTGTCGACGCGGGGATCTCAAATTCAACTGCGGATCTGTTCGAAGGAGAGACCCTGCAGCTGACTGATGCCGTCTTGGCCAACCTTACTGACCTAGAGCTGTCTAATGTCACGTTATTCAGCTTCCAGAACGAGTCGGACTTTGCAGAGAATCTATCTAAGTGGTCTTTATCTGGATTATGCAAGACATATCCAGACGACCCCTATTGGCCTTTTCCATCTACTTGGAGCCTCTTCAATATCCTACTCGGCGGCGGTTTAACCGAGACCATCCCTTATGCAGCGTCTTGCTATGATACCTTTGGGAATCGCAACACGTCTAAATGCGATTTCATCACCAATAACTGGATCAATGCATCCATCTACCAGTATGATCACGTATTAAGCATCAAGAGCAGAAGTTTACTGATTCCCAATAGCACCGAGGATCCTACGTCGGTCAATGCTGTGCTGTTTCAAGGGGCGACTTGCATGCCACCAACGCTTGTACCTTCGAAGAGTGGATGCACAATCGGTGGATATCCTACCTACTCAGTGTCTATCCGCAATGTCGCGCAAATCCAGCTTGCGGTCAATTTCGCGCGGAATCTTAATCTGCGTCTGGTGATCAAAAACACCGGCCACGACTTCAGCGCGAAGTCGGTTGGGATGGGGGCACTGTCGATCTGGACTCATAACCTGAAAGACATCCGATTCTTTAAGAACTATAGGCAAGGACGTTACAGCGGCCCTGCTTTCAAGCTCGGTGTCGGTGTTCAGGCTTTCGAGGCGTACGAGGCTGCTAGGAAGAACAATGTCACTATAATTGGTGGTGAGGGTCGCGTAAGTTTTGCAAACACCTTAATAGTTGTTAAGCCAGTGCTAATCGCGCTACACAGACTGTGGGTGTCATGGGGGGTTTTCTCCTTGGTGGTGGCCATTCTCCCTTATCCAGCCTCTACGGTATGGCTGCCGATCAGGTACTCTCGATGGAAGTGGTTCTGGCTAATGGTCGGTTCGTGACTGCAAGCGAAACGAGCTATCCTGACCTATTCTGGGGTTTGCGCGGCGGTGGGGGGTCAACCTTTGGCATAGTTACATCAGTCGTCGTCAAGGCGCATCCGAAGCTCAAAGTTACGACGATGACATATCTTCTGGCGACAGGACCAACGGTCACGTCCATACAGTTCTGGGCTGCCTTGCGAGCCTTTTTTGACGGCTTCATCACATATACTGATGCTGGCAATTATGAGTATTTTCGGATCTCGAAGGTCGGAAACGATCAATATGTCTCTGACATGGGCCCGTGGTTCGCCCCTGGGATGTCCAAGTCTCAGCTCGAAGCCCTAGTGGCCCCATTGCTCGCTAAATTCAAAGAACTGGGCGTTGAAGTGAAGCCGGTTTATACGGAGTACGACGAGTTTTACGACGCGTGGCTCGCGAGTTTCCCCGTCGAACCATGGGGGAGCAATGCAATTCGACAGGCCAGTCGTTTATTCCCGAAATCCAACTGGCAAGACGCCGCGAAGCTAAATGCTACCTTTGATGCTATCAAGAGCGTAGTTGAAGAAGGCGCGTACATAGTGGCATTCAACATTGCCGCCGCCCCCAAGACTGGGTATCCTGATAACGCGGTAAATCCAGCATGGCGAAATACTGTTATGCATGCTATTATGGCTTCCTTCTGGAATGCTACCAATACCGACTCCGATATCAAAGCTGCGAGCGATAGACTGACCTTCGGCTGGATGCAGCGCTGGAGAGATGTATCACCCGGAGCTGGGTCGTACATGTCCGAGGCAGATTACATCGAGCCTGACTTCACCCAAGCTTTCTTCGGGAGTAAATATCCGAAATTATATCAGCTCAAGCAACGATATGACCCATTCGGCGTCTTTTATGCTCACACGGCTGTCGGGTCCGAAGACTGGAAGATGTCCGAGATGATACTAGGAAATCTACCGTCTCAGAATAGTAAATTATGTAGAATTTAGATGTTAGAGTATGTAGACCAGCGTTCTGCCGCCTAGACAAAATTTGTTTTTTTCTTATTGGCATGAAGGAGGAAGGAGGTTGAATTGCGTAAGTATTGCGTAACCTATTATACTTGCTATTTAATCTGCCCTTTGGCTTTTTACCTATTTATATTCGGCGATGATGAGGATGTAATGAGAGTGATGAGAGTGTAAGTTTGCGCCTCTGTGAGTGCAGGTTAACGCCGTCCGAATATTTACCTTGGTGCGGGGTAAACAAGCTGTAGTACGTAGCAATATAACATAAAATAACGCAAATTTCTGTCACGGTGAGATGGCCGAGTTGGTTATGGCGTGAGGTTAAGGTCACCTTAATATCATTTCCTCATGGAGAAATCCGCGTGGGTTCAAGTCCCACTCTCATCATTATTTTTGTTTTACTTTACGTTTTAGAAGTGTCTTTTTTTTTTTATCCTACTGTCAAATTTCGCATACAATTTTCCCACTCACGTTTCTGCGCCTCATAGTGGAGACTGTACACTATTAGCCACGACAACTTCCAAATGATGATTTTTATTACGGAATACATCTCAAGAATGTCACACAACAGGCAGTGTTTCGACCAGGGTTTAAGTAGAGAGCGCATTGCGGCTAATAGGATTTCCTCTACTTTTAAACGTACTCTCATAGTCCCGGTTCTCTACTTACCTACCTGTACGATGCCCACTCGATACTAATCATTCAATTTGAATTATATGTATTTCAGGTTAGAATAGGTTACCCAGGGCGGTGGCTTCGCTATTTTCAAACTCTATCGTCCTGGCATAAAGGATGCCGCGTGTGCATTTAAGGTCACTGAAATCCAGGGGGTTGACTTTGTCTACCTAATGGAGACTCCTAGTTGAATCATACGGATAGATGTCCAAGGAGTAGTGAGAGGCACTACATGCAGGCAATACATCTAAGGCATCTATCTCAGTGTCTTAATAAAGTCTAGTGCATGAGCGAACCAAGTTGAATAGAGGCAGACTGGTCAATAAATATTGAAATACGTAACGATAGCAAAAGGTTAAGAAGACCAATCCCCATTGTCATTATTCCTATAACACTACTCAAACGCAATTTGCCAATTATTTTCCAGAGAGACATCCCCATCAGCATCCCTATCAAATTGATCATCCGGGATTGTATATGTATCTGTTGAGCTGGCCCAGGTTCCAGTTGTGTAGAGGGAGTCTGGTTCATTCTGCGCTCGTGCTGGATTCTCTTCATCCAGTTCGTCGTCGTAAGAAAATCCAGGGAGTGTGGGTTTGGCGAAGGTTGCATGGTTCTCGCTAGGATCCCACGACCAAACACCCGAATCTTTTCTGCGCTGTCCTCTGTAAAAAGGAGGGGGGTTGTTTGACAGGTGGTCCAAAGTATGTGTCGAGAGAAGCATCGGATCAACGTCCTGAATTCCAGGAGAGAGTGTAGCGGCAGCAGCAGCCGCATTTGCGTCTTGTATTGCGTCAGGATGCGGCTCTTCAATTTTCTTCTGTTCATAGAGCGACTTCAGACCCTTTACAAACTGCCAACGAAGGACCGACATTTGAAATCCGGGTAGGTGGTCTATGTCTAGGTAGTCAGCGTAGTGAAGGGGTTAAAGGCAATCCGGCATGTTATCGTTTTACTTACAGGGCTCTTGGATCTCAATCTTTGGGTCAGGTCCCCATAACGCGCAACATATTTTCTCGTAGCATCGAAAGGGGCTCCCTTTATCCTTTTGGAAATTGAGCTGCCCATATGCTTCATCTTGATCCTTGTTCATCCATTCAGCATCTAATTCCGTCAAGCTCTTGGTCGGTTGTGTGCAATTGGCCATATGCCTCCGTTTTATTTCACCAACTTCCTCCTTTTTTGTTTTGTTAAACCTCATGAGACACTTTTCGCAGCCATTCCATAGACAGTGTACTCTCTTGATATGCTCCCTAGGGAATTCCTTAGCATAGGTACCTTGAATAATCAGAACAGAAACAAATAGTTAGGTACTCACGTTAACTTCCCAATATTCTTGAAACCAACACCAGCCGTACACGAGTTCTTAACATGAAGGTATCGGGCGGGATTATGCTTCCAGAAAGGGCAAGCTAGATACTCCTTGTGCTCTTCGTCGTCTGTCAACTCACTGACTTTAGAGTTAAACAGTTTAACTATATCCGCTAAAGGAGCTGCTGTCGCCCCTATACTAGGGAGAAGTGAATCGCATAGGGGGCCCCCGCTCCCACCCGTTCCTTGTCTCTCAGCCGGCACGTTTAGTATATCGGTCATATTTTCTCTTCGCTATGACCTAGGGTTTATTATGCTCTCGATTTCGGCGAGCTTTCCTTGGACCCTCTCTTTGCGTTCCCCTTTAGGTACTTTAACTTTTTGATCAAACACGTCTTCAGCAAGCTTCACGGATATGGGTGGAGTTGGACAACGCATCCAACGTTCGATGCCTTTCGACCCTTCCTGATCTTCTGGAGAGTCGGCAGAATACACGCTCTCCTGATAGAAGGGTACCGACCGGCTACGCAAATGCATCAGCGCCACGCTGGCAATGGCAACAGAATGAAAAATACCCAGGCGGGAGTTATAACAAGACGTCTGAGTTAACGCAAGACTTCAAACAGCCACTGAACCGTACCTATTGTTGGGGAGTTGTGGTTGCATTTGGCATTGTAGTTCTACGCCTTGTGGTTTCGATTTTTGAGGTAGAAAGGATAGTATTTGGGATGATTCTAGAGAGAGAAGACGGATATTTATGTGTGTGATCAACTTCCCCAGTCATCATCGCACATGCGATTCTAAAAACGGCAATCCAGCCTCACATGTCCAGCAATACCCTACATATTAGTTCTAGCCGTATTAGGTATTCCAACCACGTATTATGAGTGTAATTGTAGGTTGTTAGTCTTTCCATGGTGTTTTCGTTGATATTGAGCAGGTCAGTTGGTTTGGGTAAGGTGTTTCAGCCCCCTATTTCATACTGAGAATCGTATGCGCACATACATATACGCTATAAATCTCTCTTAACCTTTTACTAGATAGTTTAGAAGATATTTAATTTCTAATGGACCTTAGTACTTTAGTTAAATACTGTTTATTGAACAGGTACTAAAACTCAAACTGAGGGCTGTCTACAATTGATTAGGTACCTTGAGCAACTGAATGTGACCGATGACAAGCGTAAAGTGCAAAATGGCTCTTAAAATAAATTTATCCTCGAGACTATTATGGGTTTGGTGTTTTGAAGAAGCTCTGGGAATAGGTGGAATGATAGGTGGACTTACAGTCAAAGGCAGCAAATCGGAGTGACTTAATGAGAGCACAGTAGAATTCTATAGGCTGGAGTATAAGCCTCATAGATAAATGAGCATTAACAATTCAATTAATCATTTAGAGTAGTTCTAGCGATCGCCTCATACTCTTTTTCCTTAGACAATGCAGGAAAATAATTAATTCGTCATATGTCAATAGGACATCTGCTTAAGACGGAGTGTCGTTCCTTACCTCCTATGACTCCAGGCATTCTATTCATAATAAATCATTGATGAGTCGGTTCAGAATAAGTCGCGACGTAGATAAATACCCTCAATATTACTCGAGAACAGACCTCGATTCTTCAAGTCCTCGTAGAGAAGATCGGGAGGAGGTATAGTTAAGCCATCCAAAGACACCAAAGCTTCCACACGATCTCATAATATGACTGCTCCCAACTAAACTTAGTTATCAGTGAGATCACACCCCGATGAATAATGTTGGTATCCAAACAACAGCTGAATTTATATCCCAGAAGACTAGGCAAATTATCGACTAATTAGGCACGCTTAGGTGCCAAGATCCATATAGTTGATTGAGGTTACACCTTAAGTAAGTCCGAGCTATAGTGCTTACAACTATGTAATACTAAAAGATCATCTTATATATGAAACGTCCAACTGATTTGGTAATACCTACAGCGAGCCTACTGGGACTATATCTATGCGACCCATAAACAACGGCACAACACCTTTGGTAAATAAGCTATATTCCAGTAAGGACTAAAATATATACTAATGGAAATATGCCTGATTATAATAATTGCCGAATGAAAAGGTTCATAATACAGTTCGTCTAAGAGACTAGTATAGTTAACAGTTAGTTATTAACTTCATAGTTCTTCTTATATATATTAGTCCTATTCTCTCTGCAGTTCCGAATATCCTCACCAACCAGGTAAATTCACTTGTTCATTTATCATCGCGTTTATTTTCCACTTCGCTATATATGGATTATGTTTTATATTAACACTGTTCACTTTTACATGCTCTTGAGTCGTGTCTCGCGAAAATGGATGGTGCCCGATGCTGTGAAACACATGAATTTTCAATTATTAGCTGATTGGGCATATCTAACCCATTTTCAAGGATCCTGCTAGATGATATCATTAACGAAGTGTCTGATGAAGCATATGCTTATGTGTCTACGGAATACTTCGATGAGGCTGAAAAATAGATGTCGCTAAAGGGCCGAGGCTGACAACAGGGGTATTGATCGCAATACTCCCTTTAACTGGCAGTTGACCTTTGAGATGGCTTTGGTTGAGGCCGAGAGGATCTTTTAAGAATACATTCCTTCTTCAGTGAATTGCCTCTAATTTATATGGTGATGCATAAAGGTGATGATATTTACTATCGGGATTTACCTAGATATTGCCAGAAGAATCATATCTAATAGGCGCATTGAAACATATAATAGTGATTTGGTATCATTCCGTTAACTTTGTCTGGTATCATTGGCGATAAAGCTACTAAGTAGGGCCTGGACAGGCGGATGATTATCTTATTTTCATTAGCCAATCAGAATCCGTGATATTGAAAAGACTTACCCAACTGAGTAACCATCGGCTCGGATTATCACGTGTCGCCGGGCGAGTCACTGGTGACTGAGGGGCCCGATACCTTACGCCAATGATTTGAGAAGACGTTATGTACGATGCATTGTGTTGATGGGTTATGCATGGAGTGAGATGTCGTCATAAAGAAATGTACTCATGAAATAAGCTTTCGATGATGATCTCCCGCGCCCTCGATCTCTGGGTCATCACTTATAATTATTAATGAGCATGTAAATGGTACCTACTTCGTACCTAGGTAAACATACATGTAGGAACCTCTCCGACTTGCGTCATATTACGGATCTGTATTTCAGGTTGATGATTCAAAATATTGAGCCACGATGCATCATGCCACGACACCGGTAACGCCCCTGGAACAGACGGCAGGTAATAAAGTCGCAGATTACGAATTGTGAATTGTGATTGTGTTGACTGGGAATAAGAGCGGTCGACGGTCGACGGTCGACGGTCGGCGGTCGGTCTTTGACTCTGGCGACAAGTTTATTTGATCACAGCAATACATACAGTGTTATGACGTACTACGCGAGAAAAAACCCCATATGCCGGTAGGCCCACTGCGTTCAAACATAGGTACCTTTAATTTTGCTGTTACTGTAGCAAACTAACGATCTGGTGTCTACGTAGTGGAATTTCGTTGCAATTCTATGCAAGAATTAAGACATACAGTTCGTCAGTGGCTGTGGTCGATTGGATCTGACCTGCGTTACTATATGTACGCTATGCTAAGCTCCCGAGGTTGCCAAGAGCCAAGCTTCAAAGGTTTAACCGCCTCCTATCTCCAAGAATGCAGGATTCTCGTCATGAGTTAATAAAAAGATCTATAACGATAAATGGGCCTTAGGGGGCTGAAGTATTGCTCTACGGTGGGTAAGGGGTGCATCCTGTGATTTGGTGGTTTGGTTTAGTCGTCACCCTTTGGTGTAAGCGGCGTCAACACCCTTTACATAGCCCCACTACGGCGGGAGTCCATGGCCCCCGACTACCGACAGGAGCCGCGACTAGCGAGACTTTGTCATTCTTTCCCTGATATTCTTTTTCTCTTGGTACCCAATTTCTTAGATACCTACGCTTCTTGTTTCCACACATTTTTGACGCAATCATCTGAAATATTGTTTACGTTTCTATCGGGTTGTAGCTGAACAGCGATGCCGACTACATGCAGACTAAGAATATTATACATAGGTCATTAGTATGGCAAGCCACCTTACACAGTATGCATCTACCTAAGGTAAGTTTCTAACGCCAACTTCTCTAGGCGTGGTTAGCATCTCGCAGCCCCCATATCAGCTGCTTCTTCCTTTCTCCACGATTTCCCACGATGAATCTCATCCACCCTGCGTTCTTGGTCCCAGCTCTAGAATCCTGGCACTCCTAAGTTGCTCTCTGGTTGGCTAAGAGAGCTGGTAAGTTAACCTAACCTGCACCCCTTTTCTATGTTGCCCAATCACGTTCCTTCATGGCCGCCATGTCCCACTTCGAGACGAATCCTTTACAAGACTTGCCGCGATTCTGGGGTAATGAGGTGAGTTTGGCGGTAATCAGCATCGCATCACGGGATACAGCAGAACGCATGTCTACGGCTCCTACGATCACACTCGGTCGAGTGACTACTGGCTCGTGTGGTTCGTGGAAAGTTGCCTTACCTGCCTTTTGCTACACGTGCAGATAAGCAGAAGCAGGTAACTTTGCAGACGGGACGTCGCAAGCTGCCCATTTTCTTTGCTTTAGTTATCTCGGCATCGGAACCGACGAGTCTCAAGGCACGAGCTCAAGCGAGTTCGGCTAACCGCGCCCGAGGCCGCAGGATACCGAGAAGTAATCTGATCACCTGTTGGCAAACTGACGCCGACTTACCGCAAGGGATTCGCCGTGGTGCGGAACATTGAACGAACTATGTTACGTGTCAAGCGTCATCCTTGGTCAACTGCATCATAAACAGTTTGTGTTCGGCTACGCGTAGCCGCAGCTGCATTACCTTTTACATGTAGTTAGGTGGTTAACCTGCGGTCTGGTCTACCTAATAGCCAAAGTACAAAAGTACACGGAGAGTCGGTGACCGCGGCCGCTTTTACTTGGGGCGTCGGAGGTCTAGTTGGTTGAGTGACTCGCTAGTCTGCTGTGGCTTTGAGCCGCCTTATCAAACCACGTTCCAGTCCCTTGTCTGATGAAACTTTGGTCAGTCACCGCTAAGGGTTAGGTACTACCCGATAGTACCCTTAACTGTACCTAGGGTAACTAGTCTCGCGCCGGTCCACGGCGTTCGCTCTAAAGAAAGTCTGGACCCTTAAGAGCGAGTTGCTTGTTCATCCTCCCAATCTGTCAAACGTGGGTGTGGGGCAATAAGTACCTACCTAACCTATGTACCTAATGACAATGGATAATGAATGGAAATAAGAAACCCCCCTCCTCTTTACTCGCATATAAACCTGACAACCCTCAAACCGCATGCGGCAGTTCCCCGTGTATGATATTATCTATCTATAGACCCCAAATCCTACCTATGAATCCTCTCAAACGTGTTGCGGGGCCGATTCTCTTGTACCACCTATAATTCGTACCTATAAGCACGTTTCAACTGATTGATTACTATATTACGCATCGATCACGCACACGCCCTCACGAGGAGTTGGAAGAATTACTGCATCAAGTAACCCATCCTACTCCAAGAACCCCTAAAGCCTACAGGGCTATACATAGGCAATCATGCCGGGCAAGACGAGCCACACCCCAACTATTTATTACGATGTGCCCGTCGCCATCATACCTCTTGTCAGTTCGATACTGTTACTTATAAGGCTTTATCGTTGGCAACAATCTCAATACTACCAATTCCTCAACCTCATCGATAGCACAATGGAGGGGACATTATCGCGAGTTTCAAACAAGCTTCAAAGCCCCACCACATTCAGCAAGTTCAACGAGCTCCCTCCGGAACTACGGATCAAAATATGGCAGCATGCTATGCCTGGTCCTAGGACGGTCGTTGTCAAGTCTCCATACGCGGGACAGAAGCAGACGCCTAGATCATTAGAAGAAGCTGTATTAGATTCATATAGCCAAGGGGAAACATGGTATTCAACAACACAAATCCCCGCCCTCTTACATGTCAACGCCGAGGCCAGATACGAAGCTCTTAAACATTACAAGCTTTCATTTGGCGTAGGCAACATACAACCGAGAGTTTACGTTGATTTCAACCGGGATACTTTATTCTTTGGCAACTCGGAGCTGAAGCCGGAATGCTCATCATTATGGGCCTCTACGCAAGGATTAGATCAAGTACAACGTCTTGCGGTTGTCCCCGAGGGCGCATGGCGAGTGCTACGATGGAAGAAGGTCGATTTGAATTCACTGGAGCGGATAATATTTGTACACGACACAGAGAAGCTCGAGTTAGGCTCTCTCCCTCAGCTAGTTGAAGACGAACCGCAAGATATCGAAGCGGAGTTGCTTGAGGGACAGGTGCAACGTCTCGAGGAGTTACAGCTACAGCAGGAGTCGCAAGAGAACGGCACGTTGGATCCAATGAAGAAGCGGATGCAGGCAGCCCGTGAGGAGATCGATACGCTAATGATGGTTCTACCAGCGCAATGGGAGAAGGAACCAGCATTGTCGACGGCAGTGTTTAGGAAAAGCCGCGGGGATAGATGGGCGTGTTGATTCGCTATCCTTTTTTTAGTGTAGACACTCGTCAAATGCGACATGTCTTGTCTTTTCTCATCTTACGCTGTGCATCATGCCGTACACCCATGAATAATCGAACCAACCAGATGAGAGGATTGTTCATCTCTAGCTTGGGTAGGAACTAACTTTCAAACGTGCTAAACATGGAGAAGAAGATCAATTGCTTCATCATGATGATGCTAAGGGTGACGAATCAGAGACGCTGATGCATTGTGAACGGCGTTATGATGAAAAACCCCTATAATTCGATAGCCTCTAAGACATCCATACGCAATCCAATTCGTCTTGCTAAACTTGTCTTGTCCTACCTTAGGTAGGTACTTATTTACGATGCTTACGTACGCATGCCCACCGATTGGCTTTTCTGATGTTAATCGATCGACATGATGCAAAACGAGGTGGCGGTAGAAACGGGGTGAGACAGGTACATTACATACCGGTCCAAGCCACAAACGACGCAATTGCCCGCCCCTATCATTTTCTCTCTGTCTTTTCTCTGTTACGCAACGACGAAATGCATGGCCATCCGATGGGTAATGATGCATCATGCAAGCCCCCCTAAAGCCTGAACATCGTCAACTGCAAGTTACCAGACGAGACTACGGTACCGTAAGAGGTACGTAACGTACTATACATATATTAGATACCTACCTACATATGTATAGAGGGCGAACGGCTTGAGTCATGAATGTCTCTTCCGCGCAAACCTTACACGCGTCCCTGCGGGGTTCTCGGGTCCCTTATCTAGGTTGGTTCGTTTTTTCTTTTCTGTTCTCATCACCCTTGAATCGAAGAGGCGGTGGTGGAGATACCTAAGTACTATGTAATGAAATGACGACGACGACGACAATGGTAGGTAGATCCCTCTAGCCGCTTTGATTTCACTATTACATGTAGGTATGCTTACATACATACCTACATACATACTGGGAATAATACTACATAGATTCCAATAAAGTTCACACCGCCCCCAAAACAAGACCAGATCCCAAATTTCCCAAATTCATGCATGATCTTACAAGCCCCCTTTTCCCTTTGGGACCGATCCTCCCGAGACCAATTTGGGGATTTTGTCTTCGGTGAGAAGAACGAGGGTGGGATGCATTTATGTACTAGTATGTAGGCTATTCCCGCGAAATAGAGGTAGGTAGGTCACACTGCGTCCATGCCATGTATGTACGTAGTAAGGTCATCGACTTCCCCCCTCGGTGCCGGTAAGGCGCGTACCGGTTCCCGGCTGCGGACCCGGCTGCAGATCGTAGCGGCATGTACTTGGGTACTGGATGCCAGCCTGCATACTTACATGTTGATATCTTCCTTCCTATGTACCTTACATGTAGGACTCGGTGCATAGGTAGGTACACACACATTTCTTCCACCCCCAACCTGGGCCCCTGGGGTCCAAGCCTCATAGTTTACTCTTCGCGCCACCGGCAGCATTCGCATCCACATACGAGCTCCCCAGCCTCAGCATCCGCACCGCACCATCCACCATCTCGCGGACGATCTCGGCGGCAGGCTGGACCTTGGTAACGGCGCCCGCGACCTGGCCCATCAGGTGCGGGGGATCGATATCGTCGACGTCGTTCTCGAGGTCGTGCTCGATGGGCACGACGCCCCTGTCGCAGAGCTCGCGTATCTTCTGCGGCTGCGCGTGCCACCGCGCGATATACGCGTTGGCGCGCATGCGCAGCGGCCGCCCTGTGAGCACCAGCGTGCGCTGCGTATCTTCGAAGCCGCACGCTACCACGCTCGCCTTGTGCTCCTCGCTGCTGGCTGCTTCGACGCTCGCTACGAAGCGTGTTCCCACCCAGACTCCCGCCGCGCCTTGCATCAGGCTTGCGGCTAGCGACCGTCCGTCGTTGATACCGCCTGCGGCTACGACGAGCGCGGGGCTGCCTTTTAGCATCGCCGGGTGGTAGCACGCTGCGACGTCGGCGACGGCCGGGGTAAGCACCGAGCTGGCTATATCGCCCGTGTGACCACCGCCCTCGCCGCCCTGCGGACACACCATATCCACACCGAGATCCAGGGCCTTAACCGCGTGTTTCGGGTGTCCGACCATATTCATCACCAATATCCCCGCATCATGCAACTTGTCAATCACGTACTTGGGCGGGACACCCACCGCGCTGACGAACAGCTTCGCGCCGCTCTCGATCGTGATGTCGACGAGCTCGTCGAGCTTGCCGCCCGTGTAGTCGTGGTTAGTCTTGCGCGCGGACCCGCCGATCTGCGGCAGCGCCAAGTCCACGCCGAACGGCAGATCCGGGGACCGCAGGGCGGCTTTGAGCTCCGCGATGATGGCGCGGAGTTGCGAGGGCGTGTATTGGAACCCGCCGATGACGCCTAGACCGCCGGCGTTGGAGACGGCGGCGGCGAGGGCGCCGCCTGAGACGCGGGCCATGCCTGCGAGGATGATGGGGTGCTGGATCCCGAGGAGGGTGGTGAGGGGGGTTGTGATGGGGCCTTGGGGCTGCGGCGCCATTGTGATGGTTGGATTTGTTAATTTACGTCTTTACCTACTTGTCCTGGGTTTACAATTGCGGGTGGGAACTGTGCCGCTTTGATATAGGCCGGTGGAGTGTGATTGTCTGCGAGGGACGGGAGTCAAGTATAAAAAGACGCTTTGCTCGAGAGCGGAATCCCAACAGTTTTATCGAGCAATCCAAATTCAGCCACCTCGGACTAAGGGTACTACGATGCGATGCGATCCGACCCGTGGTTTAGGAAGTACTGCGAGCGGCTTGGATGTTGTACGACACAAACTTTTTTTTTCTTTTTTTACTAAGTATGCGAAGTTTTATATACGTTACGTGTCCGAGTTATAGGTAAGACTCGTGATTAGAATGTAAGAAATAAGGCGACGTAAGGGTATACGACTAAATTAATGAAGTTGTTGGACTTGTACATGTACGGGGCCGCATGATAAAGCTCGACGATTCTCGGGAGCTAAGCTCGATGGTGCGAAGCGGAGATCTGGGGTAAACTAAAAAGATGCCGAGGCACGTCTATTTTCGGCAATGGTCTGAACAATGGGCCTAGGTATGAGATAACTTGTCTTAACTACCTGAAGTGTCAAGTCGGGAACTAAGACTGACCTTCGACTTTGCCATTTATCATTTATCATTTACAGAGGTAATATATGACATTTGACAAGCTTTGTTATATAGATTTCTAGATAGTAATATCATGTCTTAGACAAGTATATTCAAACTTAGCATCTTGTCTAGAATTAATCTCAAAATTCCCAATCCCAGCAATAATAATAACATCAAGGTGTTCGCTATAGCGAGATCATTGCGCTTTTACACGCTCTATAAGGCTTAGGCCGCTTTCTCGTTCTGCCAACCCTATAGTTTTCATAATTCCATATTTACACGTACACACATTGATTGATTTACAGGTAGTGAGATAGCTTGATCGCCCGCACTGCCAACGACACCTTTCCGACATGACGCTGAATCCTAATCATCAAGCATAGTGTCATAGCTCATCAAGGTCATTATCAAACCTCGTCTGGTTTGAGCTTTGGTTCGTCTTAGGCCTAGTTTAAAGCCCTGCGATAGAATCCGCCGACGTGCTGCATACGGGCCGCGAGGAGCATTAGTTCGAGTCAGAGTTACAAGTTGGTAATATATGGTGATATTTCTCATCGGAAATATGGTAGTCGTGCAGGGACAAAGCCTTCTTGTGGCGGATCTTTCGGTACTGGCGATTGTGGCTGCTGAATCTCTTCTTCCGCAGATCCAGACCCGACCTCGTCTTGTCCGTAGTCTGATCCCTTATCAAATATGGCCTCTTGCGGAACCATCACCCTTTCTACCCTGACTATTTCGGATTTCACCTCCTGGACGGATTCGATTTGAAGATTATCCCGACTCAGCCCTCTCCTAAGAGCCAAATTCGCAGCAATCTGTCTCTTTTTCTGTACCACTTCATCTTCTTCCCGTTCCAGCCGTTCTTCTTCCAGTCGTAAATCTTCTAGTGATGCCATTGAAACCAGCGCTGGGCTCTCTGGAACCGATCCTGAGCCAAAGCTAGGATGTAAGGATGGCCTTGTCGAGTCCATCGTCGTCCTTGAAACACTCCTTGGTATCCTGCGGTCTGCAATCCGTTTCCCCTTGCTGCTCTTCGTCTTATTACTTTCGCGATCATCCGCGTGATCTAGCGCAATGGTGAACTCGTCGTCTAGCGGTATTGCATCTTCTTCCCCTTCTTCGTCGCTTGGGAAAAGATCACCTCTCGACCTGTACGAATCGCTAGTATCTCCACTCCCTACCGTTCCACTTCGCTTCCTACTATGCGATTGTGATTCGTCGGTGTGTGCCCCATCGTCGTTTTCGTCCAACAACGGCACGCGTTCTGTATCCAATCCCGACCTTGATGCTCCGGGGTGCTCTTGTAGATTTGCAGCACTAGGCTTGTATCTCAAAGGGCCTCCTATCTTGAACGGTAGACGGGCTAAAAATCCTAGAGGTGCAGTGCTTGGAATAATTGTCGGATCTTCTTGAATACTGGATCTCCTCCGCGGTCCTTTTGTGCCGTAGCTCATTCCGCGCTTCCTCTTCGGTTGTTCTTGAACATCACCTCCGCTCCGCTTCTTCCCGGTACCTGCCAGTAATTGATCCCAATCTTCACCTCGCCAGCTGCTGAGAAGTCCTCCTGCATCGTCACCGCCTCCCAGCTCCTCGTCCCAATCATCGTAGAAGTCGAAGCTATATTCGGCCCTTCCTCGCGCCCGTTGGCGTTCCCTTGCTCGTCGTGCTCGTTCTTCGCGATCGCCGAGGCAGACGGCCGAGCAGCTCTCCAGCGCTGAGAAGATGGAGGAGAAACATGGTGTGATGTATGTGTGACCAAAACTCCATATCCCAGCGGCTGCGTTCTCGGTGACAGTCTCGGTTGTATGAGAGATCTGGTTCCATCGCTGCCGAAGACGAGGATCTTCGAGAAACGCCATTGTTCCGTAGCGGTGGGTGCTAAGAGGGTTTTGTATGCAGGCGAGTGTCAAGATTCGCGTTACGGACACTCGGTGGAGATGCTGTTTTTCTCCGGGCGGTTATCTACTAGGGGAATAGCGAGCACGACGAGTCAGCTAATCAGGTAAATGGAGATGCTCGCGTGTCGGACCTCCGGTCTGACGTCGTTCGTTTCGTCGTAGCTCAATTGCTAGTGATCATGCGGGATGTGATCCTGAAGGAATTATTACCCATTTGGTAATGATAAAGAGAGACTAAGGGGTAGTCGCCTATAATGTGTATATTGTACGAGTGAGCGTGGTATAGTTGAGGTTGATGCAGGTGAGATGGAAGCTTCCATACTACGTGGACCCTTAGAATAAGAAGATGTTGCGCGGAGTCGGGGCGGTGTTTATGTTTATAGGGGATAGGTGGGAATTAAGAATTGGGGACTCAAGCATTTGAGCGTTTGAGCGTTTGAGCAATAAGAGAGTTGCGTTGGCCCAAAAGTTTAGTAATAATAATTTAGTAAGGGGGAGGGAGAGAGGAAGATAAAGTTGCGGGCAAATCCAATGTCGGCAAAGCAGCTAAAAATACAGCAGCGAAGGGATCAGTTACGGTAAACGGTAAATGTAAAGGTTATAATAAGTTGCAATGACCTCATTCCTAAGTCTACCTTAAGTCTAGGCGGCGCCTAATAAGCAGTTAAGCCACCGAGAAATACTGCGGGGAGAGGAATATTTTTCTTAGCTTTCTTTCTTAGCTGAGCCGTAGTTTAGGTAGTTAATCTAAATTCGAAAGTCACAAGTAGTCGATTTACTGATTGTGTTGTGTTGTACAAGGTACCATGTACCTAACGGGCTAAGTCACTTACGGATAAGCCTGGAGCGGTCAAGTCAGGCAGGAATCCAGCAGGAATCCAGCTTCCGCTTGCAGACTCCAATGCCGCGCCGCGTTGACGATCGCAACATCGTCAATCGTTTAGCAAGCAAAATTCAGCACTTCTAAAGAACAATCAACCCCTACATTACTTAATTCCGTATTACTGGCCGCATCGCACGTCTCTAGCATATATTCTCATTACATGTCCTTTCTAATCTGTACATGCTCTTTGTCCGCGCTTCTCATCTGAATAGCATTTTGCGCGCGAGGACGACGGTTCTTTGTGCCTTTCCGTGCACAACTTCTTCGGTCCCCGTCCGCCCTAGTTTGCACCTTTCCCTCTCGGCCAACCTCGATCACTCGATCACTTCTCACGATCCATGACAAACGATATAACAGACCCGGCGGTAAAGCGCAATGCTTAATCCCCAGATGCAGGGTGGCTGGGGAGTCGGCCAGGTGCCGAACCCGCCTAGCAACCGTAAGTTGAACGGCTTTCCTTCCCCGACGATAAAAGCTATATTTGCTACGAGTGAATCCAACGACCCTCGATATCTTGGAATATATATTGGCGCTGGAATCGACAAAGCGACTGGATCAGGCGAGAAACAAAGATGAAGCCGGAATACGATATGATATAAAAGCAAGCAAGAAAAAAAAGTGAGGATGTAAGGATGTTTAAAGACCACTGACTCTATTTCTCGAATTATAGCATTTAGCAACCCGACGTCCACCCAGCCGGCCAACCCGTTCGCTCCGCCCAAGGTTAACCCATTTTTGCAAGGACAGTCCAGCGGCGCAATGCCCACACCAAATCCTTTCCTAGCAAATTCTGCTCAACCTCCTTCATCGAATTCTTCGATGCTGCAGACCCTGACCCAAATGGCGAACGGGCGGCATCAAGACTTCCGGATGCCAAGCGATATGAAGAATCCTTTTGAGAAGAAAAACGTGGGCTCTGCTATAAGCACGAACGGCCAGTCTACCGCTTCTCCTTTTAACCTGAAGCCAAACCCGTTTAGCGGCCCTAGTAATGGGCAATCCTCCAACAAGCAGAACCCGTTTTCGACGCCGAAAATCAATGGTACCGAAGTACGGCCTTCACCTTTGAGTCAACAAGATTCAACCCCCAAGTTCGAATCATTCGGCCGGCCCAGCTTTACGCAGACATCCAACCCGACAACCACCTCCGACGACAGTTCCTCGAAACCAAACCCCTTCTTGAAACCAACGCCGGCATTGACCGGTGAAACCCAGGCCTCAGCTACGACCGGTGTCAATAGCCTAAAAAAGGCTTCCGAATATGTGCAGCCAGCGTGGCCAAAGCAGGCACAGACTACTAATTCTACACCAGCGAATACCACAACACTCACAAATCAAGTTAATGGGAAGCGAAAGAGTGGTGATGATATCCAGCGGAAGAATAAATCATCGCGGAAGTCGCTAGGCCCAGAAAAGGCCAATACTCAATTCCAGTCCCCTGCCCAGGGTAATAAGCAGGACATCTCGACTGGAAAAGACGTGCCGGGAAACCCGAAATTTAATCAAGATCGAGATGAATTCGCTAAAAAGATTCGAAACCAGTTAGCCAAGGATAAAATCAGACCACCGCAATGGCCTGAGAACCCAGGGAGCTTTGCGCAACGCCAGGCAATAGAGCGTTTTCGTGAAACTTATAAGGCGTACCGGGAAAAGGCGCGGAAGTCGCTCACGCGAGCTGGTCTAATCGATGATCCAGACAAAAGGCGAAGGCTCGACGAGGCGCTTGTGTTCAAGGGAATCTGTGAGGATATGTGTCCTGAGTGGGAGCAAGTGACCCGTATTGTCGAGCACGATATCAGAGGACCGGAGAAAAGTAGAGATGAGAATGGCGATCTTGTCGCAATGCCCTCACTTATGGTGAAGCGACTTGCTCGTTCAGCTGCAGGGCAAGATGCACCCCTCCCCATGGACGTGCGATCCGTTCGGACCCTCCGTCGCACTTTAGATTACTTGATCGATCTTGTTTCGTCAGATGACCTATTACCGCAACGGCATAGTTTCCTTTGGGACCGAACTCGAGCCATTCGAATAGACTTCTCATTCCAGAAATACGCTATGACGCCTGACGAGATACTAGATCAAATCTATTGCCTCGAGACTATCACTCGTTTTCACGTTACGTCGCTTCATCTTCTCTCTCAAGATGGCTTCGCTCCCACGGACTTTTCGGAGCAACAGGAAGTCGAGCAACTAAGCAAGACCTTAATCTCCCTAATGGAAGTATATGACGACTGTGCACATCAGGGGATCGAGTGTAAAAACGAGCCCGAGTTCCGGGGGTATTTTATAGTATTCAATGCCTACAATCCGGCGCTCATGGAAAGAATAGAAGGCTGGGATGTCCGGTTTGGGAACGCCGAAGGAATCAAATCCGCAATAGCTATCGTCCAATGCATCGACAATATCCGAAAAATGCAGGGCCCTTTATATCCAGAAACTTGCACCCAATTAGCTATTGACGCGATCTCGATATTCTTCAAGCTCATCGCCCATCCGACCGTCTCATATACCATGGCCTGCTTTGCCGAGATACATTTCAACAACGTACGAAAAGGGATATTGAAAGTTATTAGGAGATCGTTCTCGAGGCCTCGGTTCGGCCCCAAAGACCTGACTCCGCCCGTTTTAAAGCAATACCTACACACTGATACAGAAGAAGAGGCAGTTGAGTTTTTCAAAAAGCACGGTTTTCAGTTTCATGAAGATGGGTATGCTATTCTCTCCCAAAGTACCGAGTATATCGATGCTCGAGTACGGCATTCCTTCTCGGGGGACATAGTAGAACGTAAACGTTCTGGACGAGCTCTTCCAGAAGTCATTCGTACAACTGTCTTCGAAGAGAATGTCATGGCAATAACTAGCTCAGATGAATCTTCCGAGGAAAGCTTGTTTGTCAGCGATTCTCAAGACGTCCTCCCAGCGGATAGCGACCGCCAAGGGCACGAGAATCCTGATGGATATGGTCGCCAGGCAGAAGGCAGTCAACCTACGCCACCCCCCGGCCTCCTGACCGCATCAAGCCCCTATCCTCCTCCGCAAACCTTTGGGAAGCATACCATTACCAAGCCGACGACTGCCGTTCCCTTTAAGCAGTCACCCTCCCCACCACCCCCCAACACGATACCTGTTTCTCAAGAGGCCTCTTTTACTCCAGTCTCTGCCCAAACTAGCAGAGACTCTAGGGCCGAAACCGCATACCCCGCTCCTACGGGACAGCAGCCCAACTCGCTCTTTGCGCAAACAGGCAACTCCATGACCCCTAGCACTACGAACGCCGACAATAATACTGCTGCAGCATCTAAAGATGGGAAGAAGTCCGACTCAAATTCTAAGAAGGTTATATTCGGAGACAATGTTTCAGTAGCACAAGCAGCCCAACCCACAACAAGCATGTCAGATCCAAACTTCTTCAGTTTTCTAAACGGCGACAAAGACCTATCGATTCCACCGACTAAGTCTCTCTTCGCGAATGTTGGAGTAAAGGCTTCCGACTCGTCGAACAAAGACGGATCACAACCCCCTGCACCCTCTAGTTTATCTACCACCCCAGAATCAGTATCAAAACCCATTCGCTCATCGAAATCTACCAGTAGCGCGGTTCAACCTACAGCACCCAGCCTTTTTTCTACATTCCCGCCACTCACGAATGACACGCCCTTAGGTACCTCTGAGGCCAGTAAACAAACTTCCGTTGCGAGTCAACCATCAATATTTTCACAACCAGCCTCAAAACTTACCTTTACATCGCAACAACCTCTTCCTACACAATTTTCTGCTCCTCAAAGTACACCCCGGAAGGACCCGATGAGTGACTTCGCTCGTTGGTTCGTTTGTGCAGACAGAGGGTTAATGGAATCACATCTTCAAGAATTTGCAGTTACTCACATCTTGAAGAGCATTTGGGACGAGTTTCATGCTGCCGAAGTTGAGCGCATACAAAGGGAAGAAGAAGAAAAGGTCGATGCCGAAGTACGGAACTTCAGAGAGAACAGTCTCAAACTGAAATACTTTTGGCGTTGGCATGATGGCTTTCGTAGACGTCAACGTATTAGACGTATGAATCAAGAAAAAGAGAAAGCGAGACAATGGAGATTACCTGAAAATGTAGCAAAACGTGAGCGCGCTGCTAGGGAAAAGCAGGAAAGAATCGTTCAGCAAACGACGGATTCGATGCTAAGGAGGAGCCAGCATAGAGTTGACGAAACGGCCCAACTAAGGGCATCAACTGGGCTAAGTCTCGAGTGGAGAGGACGGCAAAAGGCAGACACTCCAACAGAACTGCGTGTCCAATCATCAAGTCCAGAATCACAGTCACGGAGCATCGAAGAAGCGCTACTTGCTACTGGCGTTTTCAATGGGGTGACGGATGAAAGAGCTGCAGCTCGATACGCAGCCAGGGATTACGACCCCGAAACTAAGGCGAACCTGGTCCAGGAGAGAAAGATGCGATTAAGGGCTGAAAACAAAAGCCGAATTGAGCGCGGAGTCCATCGGCTCAAAGAGCTACCAGAGCCGAAGATCTATAAAGAGGGGTCGAAGACAGCAATGCTCAGGGCTCGCTGTCGCGGTACTGGTGGAGATACCTTGTCCACATCAACCGGGAGCCTTCGTAACTCAACTTTTAGCTCGAGCTATCGTTCAAGCGTCGGCTACAATAACGGTCGAGTATCAAAATCCCGGTCGAGAGTTGCAGATCCATATTGGACTTTGAAAGCTAGAGGGCTTGTCCGAATGCCGAACGGTGAATTCTTGCACGAGTCGATAGCATTGCCTATGTTGCGAGAAGGAAAACGAATCCCTGGCTTTGGAGATTATGGATTACCGGCTGCCGAAGAAGCACCCCCTAGCCAGTCGCCGCCACCGGCACTAAGCAGTCTGTCTTCGCCATTCATACGAGCTGATGAGTTAGGAGTAAGCCAAATCAGCAGTTCACCCTCAGAGACCCGGAGCCAGAAGCGAAAACGTCGCGCAAACGAAAGCTCGCCTATAAACGGAAGTGAGTCGCCTGCCAATATGAAGCGAGCCAAGAGTGGAGATGCAAAAACCAGCTCGCTTACGGACGCCGATGAGCACCTTGCCGATATCGCGAATTTCTTAGCAATGGTTGAAGGGAGGGCCTCAGGACTTGGAAATTCTTGATGAAGTCTACGGGGTGGATTAGAGGCGTCATAATAATAAGTCGAGCAAATGGATATAGTCAATGGCATAAGGAGTCATAATCACTCGGTACTATTTTGGAAATGGCCTTGGCACAGGATACATCCTTGGTGAACGTGATTGGCAACAGGGTATCGAAGAAGCAGAAAGAGACACGATAATTGAAAAAGAAATAATTGTCTAATCGAATTGGCAGAAATGGGCAGCCAAATGGGATTGTCGTCACCGTCATTATTGTTATCACACCATTCATGAATCGGCGTTACCAGAGGCGTCATGCGAAAGAAGAAAAATCAACCGACACGAGACCATGATTTCTTGTTATTACTACTGCTACAGCGGCTTCTTTTCACACCAGGATAAACTTTTCCGGCCGCCAAATTCAGGCCCTTTTTTTTTTTATCAATCGTATACTGAGATACCCGTAGGTGTAGTAGGTTAGGTACCTAACATTGCATAGAAAAGGGGTGGGGTTAGGTTGGTGATTGGGAATTTAAAGAATACATACATGTACAGCACAGGCACAGGCACAATACACGGCATGGCAAATGGGATATATCTTCTTGAATCTAATCGACTCTTGGTAGATGCTATGTTATGATCTTGACGCTTTATATATTCTCCATATTTGTCTATCTACGTGAAGAACTATACAACGGCGCTCATGTCTAGTGGATATTGCATTGGCTATTTGATATAGATACCGGGACTGCATCAGCACATATGATAACTATTAAGACAATGATGTCTCTGGAGTTGTAGTCATCTTTAACCGATGAAAGAACGCTTCATAGGCGGCAGTTTTTTCGCTTTACACATTTACTACGCCAGTGACCGTACAGATGAATGCTCACAACAACACGCCGACTAGGACAATCAATATCACTCAGCGTATAAAATATGTCAGTTAGGTACATAAGGCTAATAACATACCGATAGATAGGTATTTAGCTACCCAATTATAGCACCTCATATCACTTTATACAAACAAGCAGATTGCCAATTCAACTACTAATATTATATTATATGGCAATACAAGTAGCTTGAAAACACGCCCTAAATATCTAAAAGATTCATTGAAAAAGAATCATAGTTCGGATTAACCAATTATGTACGCCATCTAACTAAGTAGTTCCGCTTTCCTAATGGGTATACAACCAGTCTATACCTTATCTCGCTCCAGTCTAGGTATGTATCGCTTAGAAGAAAAAAAAAGTTGCTTTCCGTAAATCATTAATCACGAAGAAAAGTCTCACTAGCTGAGTCTCCCACTTTCTTCCTCACACCATATCCCTATCTCGTTCGGGGCGGTCGACGCTCCTCCTCGTCATCGATCGCCCGAACATATTCCGATGGCTGCTGCTGCGGCCGGTGCCGGTTCCGTTAGAAGGCAGCCTTTCCAGCTGCTCTCTGCTGCCGTTCATGGAGCCGCTGGATTCGGCAGGCTCCTCGTTGATGCGTGGAGGATGGTGGATACCCGCATTACTCGGCCTACGGGCCACGAAGACGTCTTGGAAGATGTCACCTGTAGTATCCTGAGTATGTGAGTTGGCACGTCGACGGGTAGCGGTCAGGATTGCAGGATTTACTGAAGGCGCACGCTCTTCATACGACGGGGGCTGAATGTTCGATTGGAAGACGGGCCAGTCTTGTCCAGAAATTTGGTACTGCCGACGAGGCTGTTCGATACCGAGCGCCACCATCTGGTTCATCAGCTCGATAGCAAACTTGTTGTGCCGGATGAGACGGGTCAGTTCGTTTTGGAAGCTCGTCTTGTGGAAACAGATAAAGTTGACCGTCATGCAGTACGCATCTTCGAAACTTACAAGCTCCGTAAGGATCTTGCTAGTGAAATCGCGCTTGTTGTCCATTACGTACTCCGTCATTCGAGCCTCGAGCTCTAATATGACGCTAGACGGGGTACCATATCTCATTCGAAGTTCGAACACGTCGGCTAAAGTACCACTGCGTCGGTGGTTAAGAATGAATACTGTGTTAAGAACGGAATTGGGCGCCTGAACGATATGACCTTGCATTTTCTTGAATTCAGTGTAGAGCAGCGATATTTCAGTCACATAGTAGTCATCGCCTCTCATCAAGGATCCAGTATTGCCGTAGATGGTGACTCGGTCGCCAACGTCAAACGGGTGCTTGACGAAAACGAAAATGATTGACTGCAGGAACTCCTGGGCAGTAGCTTGAAGTACCCACGCGAGACCTAGAACGGCAGTGCCCGCAGAGGCCAGAGCCGCTGCTGTAGAAGAAGAGATGATCGAGATGAATACAATGATTGAAATGATGAGGATAATGAAAAAGAAGACCCTGTCCAGTTTTGTGATAACAGAATCCAAGTCCTTGAGCGAAGCTGCAATAGCTTTCTTCTCCCGATGAACCTCGTCGCAGAACGCTTCAAGCTCGTCCATTGAGACATCCCCATTCAAATCGCGATCAAACACACTGAAGGCAGCCTCTGCGTCGTCGATAGAAGGAAAAGCCGGGTTCAAGTCAAACGGTGTTAAGACATCGGCACCAGGCTTAGCGAACGTGCGGAAAAGACGTCTAGCGAGGACTTGGGCGGAATTGCTGTTACGGAGCAGTTCGGACACGACTTTCCGCGGGTGGTTTCTGAGCTTAACTTCACGTCCGGTGAAATCACCCGCCACACGGTTGGCAATGTCGCCGACCTTTGCCATAGTATCTCGAGCGTTGTCTGAAAACATAGCCATGGGAGTCCTTGTGCCAGAGCCAGGTCCTTGATTATCCATAACTGATGACTCCGGGACTAACTTATCCTTAGAATGCTCGTAGAGATGAACTAAGTATCTATTAAGCATCAGTTAGTGACATATGCTAATAACTTTAGTGGTGAAAGAAATGTAACTTACGCAACACATTGCTTGTTTGTCTCAATACGTGACGAATATGTTCGCAAATGGAAAGATTCCGCAATCCATTGGATCAAAATCTTCTCAACCCAGTTCAAGATGGCCATAACAAAAAATGCCACGATAACCTTGTAGACAACATCAATCCAGTTTATAAATGGGTATTCCGTGTCGGCCTCTTCGGGCACCTTGGCCTTAACCTTGTGGTTGTTGAGGATCGGGTAATGCGAGATCAACACAGCAAGCATCCAAAGGAACAGCGCAGTATGCAACTCGAGCTGACGGGCTATCTCCTTCCATTTCTTAGAATTACCGGAGCCCAAGATCTTAGCAACGATGCCCACGATAACCGGCAGAATGCAGGTGGCTATTCTAGCCGCCCACAGGGAGAGCCAAACAACCTCAAGCCAGATGCCAAACCACATTAGGTCCTCACCCCCCGGCCCTCCAATGACAGTCTGTTGGTCCTTTGGTGTAAACCTCCCAAGCAATACAGGGATTAGTAAAATAATTGCATTGGGTAAGCTGTACAAGAAATATCGAAGTATGCGAGGTAGACCCTTAATTTCCTTGAAAACTTTATTTAGGTGGTTAGGATTCTCCAGCGGTATATTAGGAGTTTGGGCGGGTTGGTTGAACACGTCCTCCCCCTCGGGTTCATGTGTGCGAGATTTGGAGTGAGCACGGCGAAGTTCATTCGATTCTCGATGGCTAACGGCCTGTTCCGCCTGAAGTAGCGTGAGGTCGTCAACTAATCGAGCAGCTTGGTCTCTAGATTCAGTACCTGAGAGGTGCGCATGATCCACCGACATCCTCCCTGGTTCAGCAGGAACCTGTAGGTGTTGTGATCGCTCCGGGGGGTATTTCTCTGTATACTTGTCTAGTTCACCGTCCGAGACAGTTGGGGCGTGAGTCAGAGTGGGAGAACCCTTCTCGTCGAATTCGTTATGATTGCTTGTATAAGGCATATTGAAATAAATATAATCCGGAAGTATCCTATCAAACGGGGATTCAGAAGCGGTGTTGAAATTCTTATCAACTGAGAGCTATCACCAGTTATCGGTACGATGACTAGCAAACATTAAGATATCCAAGCCCCCAAATCGGTCCGAGAGATAGAGAAGATATGGAACAAGAAATATGCTGCTGTTAAATTTATTGTTACAGACCAGACAGATGTCGAAGGACGAAGAGATGAATAACGAATGATGAAGCTATTGAATAGGGCTGCTGTGACAGATCGGAACACACAACGAAGTGGTCTAGATCTGAATATTCCTGGGACAATCCCTGATTCCCTATTAAACGGGTAGAAATCGGGGATGTCTGGAGAAGAGCAGGAAATGAGACGTTGGGTAGGTTAGGTAGCTACAAAGAATGGAAATGGAAATTGGATCGGGAAACGAATGTATATAGCGCTATGCCTTCGGGACTTTAGAGAGTGGATTGGACCGAGATGGAGATTTTTTTTCAGGAGAAGATCATCGATATATTCAAGATTTAGAGATGACGCGAAACCTTGACCCACATGCTCCAACTCAGCTTTGTTCAAATTTTGATAGAAGGGGTCAAGGGAGACGGCAAGTTGCTACGCTAAACTTGCTACGCTAGTGGCCAATCACCACTAAATTGAGTGGGGGATTAAGCACTATGAATGCCCAAAGACAAAGGAGCCGGTAGTTACTACTTGTCTAGTCATTACTTCTCCAATTGTTTACATGTACCTAAAACACAGGTACGTAATATAGGCTAATGTACCTAAGGTAGTTACATAATGCGCATGTGGATACTGTACGAAGCGTGTCGGGCCTTACGCATTAAAAGGCATTTAAAGACATTTCATTGTGGCCAGACTGCCAAGACCAGAGAACTCTTGAATGAGATCTAGATCCGATCTATTTATAGACTCGTCATTACATATACATGGAAACGCCGACTTGTGGCTTGATATAGTATGGAGAAACAACAAAAGACTACCCTTTATAAATTAGTAAAATAAAGAAAAGCAAACTACCTCAATACGCAAGATAGATGTCGGTTACCTGCATCTATGGTAAGCTTCAATATCTTGGGTAAGCTTCGATATCTTGGTATGGTAGGGGCACCATTTACAGTAGCCTATCGCCTATAGCAGGCCCAATTTAGTACCGACGGCAAGGTTACTTGCGGTACACAACTTCAAATAGGAATACAGTGTCTAACCATACACAAGTGCACACCCCCAAACCGCATACAGATCACTCCACTATGGGGCTACGGTGTGTGCAAACCTAAATCCCCATTCACTCCGCTACAATGTTGTCACGAGCCCCCAACTTTACGATTATGGTACAGATTAAAAAAGATCCCAAGTGCAAGATAGAGCCTCATAAAATAGCTGAATATTGCAAGCCAAATTTAAAACCTTCCTAGTATAGTTATGGCGGAAATATAACATTATGCGAACTCTCCTGAAAATCACATGCAAGTATAACTTGTTTCGTTTTAGTTCAGAACGACAGTACGAAGTATTTACCAGTATACTGTTCATACCCGACCAAGACCTATCAACCTATCAAGTACGGCTATGTATCAATGCAGGGGCAGTGGGGCTCTAATAGCCTTAGACTTGTAATTCTTGTACCATAGTACCTAGCAAACCAGCGGGAACGCCTTAAGATCCTCGCGGTGGACTATATTTTCTGTTATACGATTGGCTGGTCAGGCCAAGCCGCTTAATTAGACAACTGCACACCAAAGCAAGCCTAGAAAGCCAAGAGCCTCAACCAAACAGAGCCCATTTAAAGCCAGATGGGGGTAACCCCGGTCGTTCCGAGAGAAGATGCGTCGACGTTGTGGACGTTGTGGACGTTGTGGGCATATGCAAGTCGAATATAAGTTCATCGCATTTACATCACCATTCTCTATCTTTATTAATCCCGCGATGCGATCGGCAAACGCAGCTGCAAGATGTGGTATCAAAAAGTTACAATCCTGCTGCAAAGGGAGATGCAGGATAAGATGTAATTTAGAAGATTAATACAAATATACAAATATACAAATAGTTGCGCAAGACACCACCATCCAGCTATTGCTATCAACGCCAACTACGCCAACTACGCCATTAGACATGATAAAGTATCATCAAGTGCGAGACGGACCCTTATTAGACCCTTATTAAACCCTTTCCTTATCAAAGCTATACACTCTGACGTCAATGTCTTACCTAGCTCGGCTCGGTGCATATTTTCGGGTTCCCAACTTGTCCGTCGCACGCGCGAGTTGATCTCATGCAGAAGCGCTACACTAATGAAAGAGAGCGTTAAATAAATGCCTCCTCCTCTGCTGACATTATGTACCTACATACTATCCACCGGCCAAATGTGCCAACCCCGCGATCTATCTCATCTCTAGGCCGTGGAGTCCCCGATCGTTTTCTTACGGAGAGATCCAGCGACGATCATTTGCAGGAGACCCGACGTTCGTGCATCCGTGGGACCAAACAAATGGGTCTCCTGTCGTCATCTACGCCCAGCTGTTGCGGAACGTCTGGGGGACAAGAGTCTGACACGTTGCAGTGGGTGGACAGTTAGGTAACGAACTGCAGGAAACAATAACTTCTTATGCAGCCTGTGTGACGACGCTCTTAATTGGCTAGGCAAGAATGGAAAATACCGACAACTCGACGATCGCAGCAACGAAGATCTAGTCAATTAGCCATGGCCAATGCGGCCATTAATTACATAATGTTGCAAGTCAGAGCCCAGCCGTTAAAGCGGTTTAAGAATGATTTGCCCCGAAACCTATTCCTTGTATTTTTATATGTTCTTTTTTCAACTAACTTGCATAGTAGGTGCCTATTTTTGTAACAATCTATAGATTGGATCTTATACGGCAGAATTGACTCGTTCGCCATAATGTATGCTGCTGCCGTTCATTAACAAGAACAAAAAGTTTACTTGCTATTCCACGTTACGAGAACCTCCTATCAACGCGTGGTTAGTTTTGGCAGTAGCAAGTTAATAACATTATGTAAGGTACAAATCATACCTATAAATCCATACCCGATTATCCCTGAATTTGAGTGTTGGGTATTGGGTATTGGGTATTCAATGATAGATGATACTGGAAACAGGATGCTTTTCCGTACCAACATCTATAAGTTACTTAGCTGACAGGGAATACGAGGAGGCGTACAGCATCAACAACAATCGCATTGGTAGATGATAGTGATTATGGTGATGATGAAAGACCGAGATGCTATAAGCTTCGGCGGCTTGGTAGCAATGGTGTCAACGTTGTAATACTATCACGCCATTTTACCCGATACAATTCACTAAAATACAAAATAATAATTAAATAATTAAATAATTTAATTGATTAAAATGTTATACCCCCAAAATGAGTAATAAATACCTACCTACCTATGCAGCCAAACGCTCTCTAACAGGCGCACAACAGCGTTCTAGATCGCATGGCGGACTCCGCGTGGCTGTGCCTCGTATCGCGATCGTGGAACCGATAATCTGGGTGAACCCCTGAATTAGACTTCCCTTGAGAAGTTTATTTCCAGCCCAATTACACATAGGTATGCGCTGCAAGCTGTACCTCGGGAGCTCCGCATATGCATCCTTACTATAAATTTATAGTCCGATTTATCTCCCCGGGATTGCTGTTCAGTTGGCAAAGATACCATATACTAGGTACCTACGTACGGCCTTGGCGCTGGTCGGTCCGTTTACGTGGTTTAGAAATCTCTACTGCGTTCCTGTCACGAGGTGGAACTAAACAGCATGGAAACAACTTCGTTGTTCTGCGAGAAACTTTAACCTAACTACGGGAGCTTGTGGCTATACATACTGAACATGTCCTTTATTCTAGATGTCTCATATAAAATCTTGACAGTTCTTCTTCCATGATGAAATAGAAACTCAAGATTAAGGACCTAGATAGACCTATCTACCCAATATTACGTGGCGGCTAGTCCTCTGTAGTTGGTGTTAGAGCACCTTGTGCTACAAAGTCCTTTATACCCTTTAGCAGGGTTACACCACAATAGTTAACTTACAATCTGTAAGACTTTTATTTAGACTTGTACAAATATGTTATGAAGTCTTTATTTGATTACAAATTCAGCATAGAGCAGTTGTAGACTATCTTTTTTTTTTTTTTAGTTATCTATCATGTCGGTGTGATATTTTAGGTTAGGTAACTCTTTGGATTTATTTGGGTTCATAGCACTCACAATCCCCTTTTCATCAATGTGACCCCAAGAGTTTACTAACAATAGGTAGATTGATATTCAGATGTTGAAAGCTCACGGGCTTTCTTTCTTTATATCAGCGAGACCTGTGCTAATCATGCTTTAGCCAAGGCAGCACCCCGTCGCCCAGTTATTGTCAGATATTGTACCCTTGATTGAAGTTATACATAGAGTAAATGTTAGGATAAATAGATTGAACTATCAACGCCTGCCTTCTACCCTCTTATGAGGGCGCTATGCGCCTCCTATATACCCATTCCTAGTAGATCTACCCCGGAATCTACCCCTAACCCACTTATACCCTGACAGTTATGGTGCTTATGTATAATTCGTGAGTATGTCAAATTCTGGTTTTATGCAAAGATTACGCCTACGATTTGAAGTGAATCATAGTATATTTGCTGTGGATTTTGTCCCAGGCAAGCAATAAATATCTAAGATAGAAGTTTCTTGCTCTTAGAGTGCCTGTCGCGAAGCCGCCAGTGTTGCCTGGAAGTTGTGTGACAACAACAATATGCAAGTGCAGAACAATAACAATTAAAACCTACAGAACTGAGCTGTCACTTTGGCTTAGACAACTTACGTCCAATCATTTTAATTTCTAGGTAGTTATCAACACTGACTGCATGCGAAACTTTTCTACACTGTAGAGAGAATATTATACGGATAACGGCATTGACAATGAAACTCGTTGTCTAGATATTTATTTTGTTTAGATACCCCAACGATGGCGGCCCAGTAAGTAAGACCCTTTAGCAAATATGTGTCTACTCTCTTGAATTAGATCAGCAATGCTGACAAATATGTACCGGAGTTATAGTCCAGAGTCCTTCAAGTCTACGGAAAACTGTACTACTACTCCAGACATCGTCAATGAAGACCCCAAGGTCAATGAAGACCCCAAGCGACCGATTATCAGCGAGGCTCCCCCTGTAACTTCACCTGAAGAGAAGATTGTTGCAGATTTAGGGAAGTATATCGAGACTTGCTACTACGGCAACAAAACAGTCCCTTCCGAGAGACCCCCGATATTTAATCAAGATGTCGGACATTATAGACCGCAGCTCAAACAGGACCGGGTGAATCGAATTATTCTATACCCTGGATGCTTCAACCCTCCACACCGCGGCCATCAATCCATGGTTAACTGCGCCTTTTCGTGCTCCCAAGATATCGATGTCATCGCTGCGATAGTCCTCCCCCTGGGCACCAGTTACTCGCCGGAGAACGCGAAGGAGTTTATGGAAGACGTATGGTTTACAATGGCCCAGAGGGTCCGGTTATGGAGAGGAGATAATGGACCTCACGATTGGCTCTGGGTCTATGACCAAGGTCGCCACGAGTGGGAGATTTTCCGTTACAATCTTGAACACGCGATTAAGGCAGACGGCTTTCCCTTCGAGTTTATCTACTTGGGCGGGCCAGACCACATTGGGAGATTTCACGTCTCAAAACGCCCATGGGGCTGCGATAACATGATTGTCAGTGATATTGGGAGAGAAACAGATTTTGTGGGTGATGAGACTTTGATTCGGATTGAGCGCCACGGGAATTGGAAGCAGATTCTCTATCAAAATAGGCCACATCCTTGGGAGGCCGTCGGGGAAATGGCACCTTGGCTTCTTAGTTCACTATCACTTACAATGCTAGGAGAAGGCAAGTTGGGATTTCGAAGAGTTTTACTGGTATCGACTTGAGCTAAACTATATCCTACACCTAGAATCTAATACTGGATCGATCGCGGAATTACAGCTACAATATATTAGAATGGTAACCGGAATGCGAATCTGCTGGAACAAGTACGACGGTATATCGTGGGTTCGTTTTATCCCGGCTGGCGATAGCGCGATACGCGTGAGCTCGACGGACATTAGGTATACTATAAAGACATGTCCACCGGATGAGTTACTTGAAAAGCTTAAGGGAAAAGCTCTTCGTCCGGAACTTCTTGTCCAGTGGGTTCAGGAGTCTAAACACCGTAGCTCAGCCTCCTAGTTAGCATCTTCAGAATAGGTGGAACCACCACCTGTGGCTGTGATATGATAAAAAAAAAGGAGGAGTCTACGCTAAAGTATCGACTTCGTATTACTATAGTGGCCATTCATCCAACATCTAAGCGTTCTTAACTTGAATAACAGCTGGATAATGGCTGGATAGAGAATTGTGTATAAAAGCAGACTATAGCTGTACTAGGTCTAAGCGTAGTATATTTTACTAAACTTGATTGTATTATACTCGGGACATAGTTTAAAGAAGAACCGTTTCCTTGTGATGACTCTCATTGCTCGGATGGCTTGTATTCGGAGACGGAGAATTTGCAGCCATGTACGGAAGTCCCCTTCAGAAGTTTTGTCCATAGGTCAACCCCTGTTAACAAACACGGCAAAGCTTGGCAACAGCTGTCGGCCCTAATAATAATGTATTTCCAAATATGCTACATTTTTATTTACTTGTTATACTTCCAATATAGGGGCTATTATTTTAAAATTTATACCATAATAAAAAAAGCTTTTATATTTATGATATCGTTTAAAAAGTTTATTTACTCGATGTAGTTTGGGTATGTAGTTACGTGTATAGAAAAAGGTAGGGACAGCTGTGGCCAAAGCTGATAGGCGTTGGGTACCTATGGACAGAACTTTTGAAGGGGACTTCCGTACTTTGTACGCTAATTTGGGGTAAGACAGGACCCCTATTTGAGTAGCACTAGGTATAGAGCCTCTTCAACGTCGATTAGGTATACCTAATGTTTCCGTGAAGGTAATTCGTAATTTGTCAAAATTTTGCTTACCATCACTACACGAGAATCTAGAATCTATTTGTAACAATGACTTGGAGCTAAGTTGAGCATTCGTCTGAAGTATGTGAGCGCGTTTGTCCTAAGCTTTGAATGGCTGACCGGGGGACCCCTGCCCTGCTCGAGCTGAAATGCTGATGCTACCTACTGTACCTAACGTAGATCTAGATCTAGAACCCGACGTTAGTGGATATCTTGAATATCCTGTTCAATATTATTGACTTGCTGTATGAATTCTCTTTTAACCTATTATATTGCAATGATTACGACTTCTTCAGAAGCAGAAGCTTTATATGGTCTCCTGGTAGACTTGCTTATAAGATTTAACGCTCGCGGGGAATCGATTGGGGGTTGGTAGTTTGCTTGGCAAACAGGCAAACTACTACGAAAATGGTGGTTTCGAAGTTCAGCTGCTGCACGCCATACGCCACCATTCGACGGACCAATATCCAGAATGGCTAGACATCATGCTAGGCCGTGGGGATTGAGAGGCAACCCGCCCTCTTAGAAAGAAGCCTGCCAGGCAATTTGCCGTGTGTGACCTGGTCTCGACCACTTCGGGCAACAAGTCAGCTCAGGCTTTCATACTTTCGCCTAGGAAGGATTTCCTTCGCTCTTATCATATACTGGAGGTTGTTCTGAATTTACTTCCCCGAGCTATTCGTTTACGGAGACGCCAATTGTTATCGTTCTAATCTGGCTTGGCCTGATTTAGTTGGCACTGGGTTTTATTTTGCGTGTTTCGAACCCTTCTACCATCCAGACGACGATCCAGCCACATCTCGTATACATTTGTCCCTCTTTACCCCTCCCAGAGGGTAGTCTTTGTCCTAGGCTCGCAAATCTTGACGATGGCACATCTTCCCGAAGGATGGGAGTCCGATTACGACGGTTGTCGGTGGCTCTACCGCTTTAAAACCACTGGGCTTACACAATACCATTTCCCGCGGCCAGGCGACGAGTTTCCCGAATTAGTAGGCATCGGTTTTGGGCCACTCGACTTTACTCCAGGAAATAGACTCGTTGACGAATATAAAGTTACTCAGAAAGGCGCTCCCAATGTAACCAGAAACGACGGAAAGACGGCGCTGGATAATGGAAAAGATGAAATGGGGGCTACGGGCTATTTTGACCCAGACAACTTTATGTACTTTGGGCTTAACGATGTAAGCCCAGTCGGTAATGAGAGTAGTGTCACAACCGATACGACCACAGGATCAGCATCGCTAGTGAACAATAAGAGCAAGCTACTACTAGCAGAACTTGAATCGCCGCAAAGATGGTCACCTGTAGGATTCGTTTCCGAGCTTGCTAGCAGCGACACAGTAAAATGCGCAGAGGAGTTAGCTCCCATCGAAATGGATGCAACACAGATTGCCCAAACGCCCTTACAAACCAATATTCACCAGAATGGTGTTGCAGAATTGCCGACGGAGAGGAGTCCAGTGGAAGAGAAAGCACCGATACAGCCTCAAATTCGAGAGACTATGGAACCTGTCGAAGAGTACCCGCTAGTTTCGGCTTCGTTTGCCTATCCTCCGCTAAAAACGACTGTGAAGCCCATGGATGGCGTGCAAGCGGAAACCCCTCAGGTGGAACAGAAAGCCATGGCTTCTCAACGGCCACCGGCGGCTAGGGTAGAGCAGAATGAATATGAAACATGGAAACCTACACATGGAATCGCCAATGAGGGACTGAAGAACTCATATAGAAACTCTACGACGTTATCGAGTATATCAGTTCTTCAGTCTCAAAACACAGAGCTTGGCCCTATCAACCAGAAGCGGCATTCGGTTTCAAGGCCTGTTGAATCCTCGGGAGAGACTCATAACTCCCCCGGTATATTGAGACAACCGTCAGATCCTAGGACATCGGCAATAGTATCCACACCTCCCCCAGAAGTTGAAACTTCACCTATTCCAACCGCCCTCCAACCCGCTGTGCCTCTAACGAAAGTAACACAAGATAATTCTCGACCGCAGCCTACGCGTCCCAGCATCCCAGCTTTGCCAGGATCTGGCGCGAGACATGAGAGTATCTCTTATGGTTCGGGTGTTTCTATTGGTGGTTCTGGTCTAGCTCGTATCCCATCAGTACTCAGGCCTGCTCATGACTTGAATGGCACTTCGGGGGACCAACACCCGCTACAGACGCACGCAGACATCACTCGTCCAGGTACTCATCGGGTCAACACCTTACCAAATCAGCTATCGTCTCATATACCATCACTGCCAAAAATAGGGGGGCCTGGAATATATGTCTTTCAGGAAATACCAACAGCGACAGAATCTATAGCCGAACAAAACAAACCTTACGACCCTGTCACAGCCATGCCTGACTCTAGCGGCCAAGGTGCATCTTCCCAGAAGCCTCATCAGCCTACAGAAACTTTCCATCCTATCATGAATGAGCCACTTCCTGTAGTTGCTCCGCTTTCCCTATCTAGACCTCAGAAACCAGCAAGTCCAGACGGGATTTCGAATACGAGCGCCCAAGGATCAATGACTAGCTCTCCTGTCTTCCAGAATAAACCACAGAGAATACCTTTAGTTTCACAGAGCACCGGAAATGCCAGCCCTACTTCTGGAACCCCTATGATGGGTTCAACTAATATTCCAATACGACCTCATCCTGCGTCTCAACAAGGACTTCAATCATCTATAGGACCCCCTAGACCTGGTTCTGTACCACAGGCCCGGCCTCATTCCACGGTACCTCAAGTATATTCCGGGAAGCCACCTGGACAGCCTACCCAAGCGCATAATTACCAGAAGCCATCAATATCGGGCTCACCACAACACTCTCCTCAAGTTTCGCAGAGCTCGTCGATAGTACATGTTACTTTAGGTAGTACACCCTCACAAGGTCAACCAGTTATAAATAATCCATATAATTCTCAGGCGCCCGTTCAAAGACCTAACCATGGTGTACCAACTACAATTCAGGCCTCTGGTAGTTTTTCAGCTAACATTTCGAGTCAACCAATGACTCCACAAGCCATCGCATTTAATCAACAGAGACCACCATCAAATTCTTCCCCTAGTCCAAGGCCCCAAAGTAACCAACAACCAGGCCAGAATATGCCGGCGGGAATAAATATAGGACAACACAAACCACAGTCTCCATCTCCTATAGCCCAACCTGTCTCTCCATTACAAAGTCAGGTTTCTTCACCGGCTCCTTCAATTGCCTCTCTCCATCGACCGCCGTCCTCCGCGTCGTCACATACATATGGTACTGCACAGAATATTGTAGGTCAAAACCGACCGCCGAATATGACTACTCATCAGAATTCTCCTCATGTTATACGGCCGACGGCGGCGCAAACATCTCAAATTCAAGCGAATCAACATATCACTCAATTACCCAGTCCTCCTATCACCGGTGGTTCAAAACCATTTCCCATGCTTCCGGGGCAGGTAAAGCCATTGCCTTCCCAAGTAGGATCGCCCCATATTCTCGTACAGAATCAGTCAATGCCTACTACTACAGCACAAGTTCAACATATGCAGGGACAGACGACATTAGTGAAGCCTACACAGCAACAACCGGGAAGTCAACAGATGGTACAAGCAGCAGTGCAGAGACCGCCTCAGCAGCAACTCATAAATGGAAATCATGTACAACTTTCCGGAAGCACAATGCCTGGGCAGCCGACTCAATTAACAGCACAGCATGGACAACCTCGACCGACTATACAGGGGGCACCGGGTCAGCAACAATCACCCGTAAATGGACAAAATCTTCCAACCTATATGCAACAAAGCATGGGTAATATTAATCAAGCATCCAGTGGACAAAATGGGCAAGTAGCTGCTGGCACAACATATGGCGCTACCACTCAGTCGCAGATATCTCATGGGATCCAATCCCCAACTACGCAACAATTCGCCGGTCAGTCGATGGTACAGGGACAGCAACAAGTAATCCAACCCCCTGGGCTTAATTCTAATTTCCCACAAATACCCGGGCAGAATAAACCTTTCACCTCGACTCAGGCAGCCGCTGCACTGTCTGATGCAGGCAAGAAAATGAAGAAATGGGCCAAAAAGACCTGGCAGAATCCTGCTTTAAAACAGTCATCGGCAGCGATAGGGGGCGCAGTTATTGCTGAGTCGATGGGAATGAACGGGTTAGCTGGGGCTTCTTTGGGAAATAATATATATAATAGTATGCAAGGCCAATTTCAGGGGCAACTGCAAGGGCAACTTCAAGGCAGCCAGCAACAACGGCCACCAGGTCTACAGCATGCTTATACTACGCCACCACAGACACAGATGCTTCAAGGTGGAGGTATTACATCCCCACAGGTGCAGGCCATGAACCGACCTCAGTTACAGCAGGGCTTACAACCTGCCGGTGTTCAGACGCCAGGGCGGCCCCCTATAGCACAGAGCCCAGGGATGACAGGAACTCCAGTGAATTATAATGCAGCACAACCAAATATGGTAAACCAACAAGCCCCTTATCAGATCTCGCGGCCTCCAGTCGGACGACCGCCGTTATCTCAGATGCAACAGCAACAGCAACAGCAGCAGCAACAGCAGCAGCAACAGCAGCAGCAACAGCAGCAGCAGCAGCAGCAATTACAACAGCAGCAACTACAACAGCGACTACAACAACAGATGCAACAATCTGCCGCCTTTGGGCAATCAGTATTCCAGGGGCCTCCCGGTCAGCCTCTCTACCAAGTCCGCCCTAATCAGACCGCCTACCAAATGCCCCCTGGTCAGCCCGGATATCAAGGGCAAGGAGTTGCAGATCCTTACGCAGCCATAGGCGCCACAATCGGAGGTGCTCTTACTGCTTTAGCTGGAAATAAAACTGATACACCGGCTTCTACAGCTCAGCAGCATCAAGCTGCAAATCCCGAGCAGTATCATACTCAACATTCCGAGCCGCAGCACGAAACTTATTCTGAGCAACAACATGGGGGACAATCCGAACAGCACCATGCAGAACAGTCTGAACAGTACCATGGAGGCTACTCCGAGCAACAATATACGAACCAGTCAGAGCAAAACCATGAGTCTTACTCTGGACAACATCAAGAAGCACAGGGCGAAGCCCATCAGCAGACTCACGCCGAGCAAAACTATACAAATCATGATGAACAGCAAAACAACGGGTACACTAACGAAGACCGCCAAACATATTCCGAACCAGCTCCTGCTGAGTCTTACTCGACTTCGGAGTCGTATTACGCGCCCCAGCCGGAAACCACTATTATTAATAACACGACAATCAACAACATCGAGAACACCGCAATGGCCGAATCAACGCAGACGAACACGAACTACACGGATAACACGCAAATACCAGACACGAACCAGATGAATATGAACTACACGGATAATTCACAGATGGAGAACACAACAAACATGGACATGATGAACACAGAAACGACTGCATTTACAGACACAGCGTATATGGACACAACGAATAGCAATGCCAACACGGAAGCAACCGCGTTCGCAGAAGCAACATACATGGACTCTTCAAACATGAACATGAACATGAACATGGATATGAACGCAGATATGACGGCGTACGCAGACACAACAGCATATGCAGATGCATCGTACACAGACGCAGCATACATGGACGCGAACGCGACGTACATCGATGCGACCGCCGTCGTAGACGTAAATGTCAACATGAACATGGATATGAGCCAGACGGCGTATATGGGCGACGAGACGTCTATGATGACGACGACGGAGGAGAATTTCAGCATGGATGCTAGCGCGAGTTATATGGAGACGAGCACGGCGGATTATTCGGGTGGTGATTGGGGTGGCGGCGAGTGGTGATGTATTGTGGTGGAAGAGGAAAATTTACCTGCTGGAGCCTGGAGGGATTGAATTTGGTACCGTGTTGGTGGATTTATGACATATTTAACCCAGGTTACTTTATTATTAATTTCTTTGGGATGAGGATAGCGCGGATACCATCATATATATTATACCTACGAAATATAATCCTAACAAGCTTACTCACTCACTCTGGCCCTTAGGCACAGCTTTGCTAGACGATTTCGTATCGTGCGACTCTCTCCTACGGATCCGGCGATGCCAGGTTTACAAGTGATTTCAGAGGACAGACACGCGGGACTTGTTACTGGCCGCACAGACGCGAGGGCGTGTCGTGTTGTGTCTATTGGTATCATAATCAAATGTACATGTTTTTACAGCGGATGAATATCTCACTTCAGCTTGCTCAACATCTCTTGAGCCCGCTCTACTAGCCCTTTAGCTTTAGCCAACTCCTCTTGGCCATCCGCCCTAACTTTAGGAGTCGGGTCTTGCTTCAGAGCATCGCCGATCACACCTTCAACACCTCGGACCGCTTTGCGGCCTTCTTCTCTTACTTCACCTTCCCAGAACTTCCGCGCTGTTTCCCATTGCTTCTGCATACGCCTCAAGCTCCATGCAATACCCAATGCGGCAACCGCGCCGGCTTCGTAGAGCGTTGTTGTCAAGGTACTGAAGTAAATAAGCAGGCCAAGTGCAGTCGTGAGCCCCGACGTACTAAGAGTTTGCAGCGTGAGATTTTGCGCGAGTGCTTGTAAGGCGGGGATAGTTTCTGTTTGAAGGTAACGGCGCGTGGCAGGGATATTTACTGGCCAAGGGGCTATTGCTGGTGTAGCCGTCTTAGCATCCAACTGATTAGACTCGGCACCATTTTCCTCGGTATATGATGGATCTGGGAAAGGTCCCAAAGCAATACCCGCTTCTTTCATTCTTCCAGCAAGAAAGATGGCATTCCTCTCTGATCCCAGTAAGAACCTTTGGTTGAGGATATCGTTCGTGAGCATCCCCACGTCATCCACGCGCCAGAATAGTTTCCACCACCCCAACTTGCGCCATCGCTTGCTGGAGAATGCTAAATCAAGTTGTTCTTGTAGTTCAGTGTGCGCGTTTTCTGCCCAATCTTCAAGGTTATTTTGTAACACTGTCGAGGGTGTGGGTGAGGGCGTTGAAGATAATGACGAACCGATCCGACGGGCTTGTTCTCGCTCTATACTTGCGGACGTATTCCTGAGTAGTGAGCTTATGAGCTCCTTCACGGGTGGTTTAGTCGTGCCGTCAGAAGAAGACATGATGTCCGCCTTTAACCACTCGACCAACTTCGGAATATTGCTTTGGAACCAAAGATGTTCAAACTCGATGGCATTGTTAAGATTCTTGCGAACCAGACCCAATCCGATACTTGCAGTTCCAACATCGATAAGAGTAAACGGTAAGGAAGAGTGATCCGCTGGTTTATATTCGGGTAAATTCACCGCAGTAGTGACCACATTTTTACTTCCTCGTGTAGGCATCGACACTATCGACGCGAGACCTAGAATTCCATCTGCCACAACTAGGGCTTTGTGCACTGGTGTCGTTAGAGGAGTATGTCTCCCCGTACTAGAAGTGGGAATCTCGACTGAAGGAACAAGCGCCGAGTCTTCAAACCCTCCAAGAGCTCCTTTTTCTTGTGCAGATATGGATGGATTCACCTCCATAAGCAATAACTCTAGATTGTGGCCATTGAGTGTTGCAGACGAGACATGGATCTCATGTAGCAAGCTATCCTTCGTAGAGACTGAAATAGATCCAAACTGTTGGGGTATATCTTCCCCAACTCGAATGATCATGGGCTGTGTTAAATTGTGTTTATCGACTTCTTTCTCCCATTCTTCCTCGGACTTCAGCGGGTCAGCAAGTAAGAGTTTCAGCACTTGCTTTGCAGTCTGACTAGACTCGGTCCCATTTGTTAGACCCAGCACAGCTACCCTTATGGATTCATTGCCCGGTTGTTGCCGCAGACCACTGATGGCCAACTGCAGGCGGGGAAGGTTGACATAGTTGGCAGCGTGCTTCTCAAGCTCAACAAGAATATCCTCTAATTCCTTGCGGGGATTGGCGACCACGCGATTGGAACTAGAAGAAGCCGTCGAGGCGAACCGGCGAAGATTAGGCGACTTTCGTCTCGAACGACGACCGGAATTTGCGCTAGGTCGACTCGATAATGAGCAAAAGAAACATACCGAATTCCTCTCAGTGCTCTGAGTCTTTAAATAAAGAGAACCTTTGCGCCCAATAGGCTGTAGACCAAATCGAGGAGGCATGCTGCCTCGAATCCTTGAAAGCGGGCGCAAAGTTCTGCAACTTTTTACAATTTAAGCTCAGGTTTGAAGCTCAGGTTTGAAGCTCCCACCAAGCTCCAAAAGGCGCGGCTTCTATCGGAATAACTTCGGCTTATCTAGTTTATCTAGTGTAACCATCCTGACATGAGGTCGACCGGGATTTAATTGTACAGTTGTACAGTTGTACTAGAAGGTACTACAGAAGGCGAGTCCCTGCCCTTCCTCAAGTTAAACCCCGCCAATGATCTGCGTTGACTGACATTTATTCCACTATTTCACTAATCTACTACTACATTTATTCTTTCCCTACTAAAACAACAGCCACATACATATTCACGACCTTACGAACTCAAGTTTTATTCATTCGCGCCTTGGTTATCTCTACCTTGCGATACATTCATAAAACAAGGAGTGGTCCCAGACCTAGACTTAGACCTAGACTTATTAGACTTCAACATACAAAAACGCAAAAACCGTAGAGATATCGCAAAGATGGCTCAATCGACAGCCCACCGCCGGCTCCTCCAAGAGTATAAGATGCTGACTAACAACCCTCCTGATGGTATTACGGCCGGTCCAGTTAATGAGGAAGATATGCTTCATTGGGAGGCCCTGATCCAAGGCCCCGAAGGAACGCCCTTCGAAGGTGGCGTTTTCCCTGCCGAACTCAGGTTCCCCAAAGATTACCCATTAGCGCCTCCTAAGATGACCTTTCTGGGCGAGATCTTCCACCCCAATAGTTTGTCTAACCCTTCCTACATAGATCTGACCAAATCATCTCTAACATTGATTGAACAACAGTCTACCCGAGCGGCCTAGTCTGCATCTCTATCCTGCACCCGCCCGGAGACGACCCAAACCACTATGAGCACGCGTCGGAGAGGTGGAGTCCGATCCAGTCGGTCGAGAAAATCCTGATATCCGTCATGAGTATGCTAGCAGAGCCCAACGACGAGAGCCCGGCCAACGTCGAGGCGGCTAAGATGTGGCGGGAGAGCCGCGCGGAGTATGAGAAGAAGGTGCGAGACGGCGTCCGACACATGCTCGGCCTCTAGTGGGGAGAAAATACACCACCCTCCGTCACCAAGCTTATAAAAACCATGCCTCCTCGCAAGCTTATCCGAGAGGTCTTCAATGCTTTCAGGTACCGTCTGGTACCCCCTCCTGGGGTGGACTGGTATGTTGGGTGAGCATAATCACGACACCATGGCTACGAACTAGATTCCATCACGAGGTTATGATGATAGGGGATGAGGGTGTTGAAATGGGCTGTAGTCAAGTTAGCTTCAAGGCAAAATAGATGATTTACAATGGAGCGACTAAGGATAGCGGGATAGCGGGATAGCAACAGCATCTCATGATAACTTCATAATACATGAAGGGATGAAGAACTGGCCTGTTTCCGGGGTGGGTTTTTTTATAATAATCATGCATAGCGAAGGTGTTCAGGTTGTGTATTTGCATAAATTATATACACAAACAAGATTACTACTAGGATCACAAGGACCACTACGTACGTGTTCGCATCAATGTTTACGGATGACCCTTTCAAAAGTTTTGTCCATAGGGCGCCCCTGTCAGGGCCGACGCGCACTGACCATGATTGGCTGACACCTGGCGGCCTAAAGATGAATGTATATACAAAACATCGCTTTTATACTTTAAGTTATATCCCAATAAAGATGTAGGATTAAAAGTGGAGAGAAAAAGTTATATAGTTTTATATTAGTTATTTATATAAATATAAATTTAAATAATTATAAAAATGCTTTGGAAAGGAGAGATATTGGTTTAAAATAATACGGTAAAATATAATACAGCCCTTAAATAGGTAGGCAGCTGCCGCCAAACATGGTCAGTGCATATCGGGCCTGACAGGGGTCTTCCTATGGACAGAACTTTTGAAAGGGTCATCCGTAAAATGATAAATTCATGCTATGGCTAAAATGCAATGCAATGCAAACCCAAATTACAATCGTTTCTGTATGTACTCTCAACGCCTGTGCATGTACGTGCGCATGCTATGCAATTTTCGTAGCTGATTCCTTGCAGAATCGTCATGATCGTCTAGCTTTCCGAGAACTTTCCATGCATACGGTAAGAAGATATGCCAACACCCAACTCCTAAGCAGCTTAGGTAGGTATCACCGCCTTACGCGGCCTCAATAGTGATGTTGGCACTGTGGCTCTGGATCTGGGTCATGCCAGAAGCCTGTGTAATGTGTTAGTCTTTGTATGAACTACAGAATAATCACCATTCTCCAAAAGAGAACAAAGGAGTACTTACGCCGACGAGATACGGGATCGCAGCAACGAGCTTGTAGTCACCAGCGGTGAAGGAGTCCGGGATGGGGACGTCGATGGTGAACTGGCCGGGCTGGGGCTGGTTGTCGGGGAACAGCGAGGTGTAGGCAACGCGCCGGCCGATGCAGACGATCTCGCCGCAGTCCCAGGCCTCGGGCGCTAGACCCCACACGATGCCGAAGTCATCCCAGTTCTGGATGTAGATGGCGGCCGTGAGCGTCACGGAGACGGTCGAGCCGGCTTTGGCCGAGGCGGGAGCCGCGATGTTGGTGATGTAGGCGGATGAGAGGGGGAGGGCCGCGAGGGCGGTGGCGAGGAGGGACTTGATGGAAACCATTTTGGATGATGGGGTTGGTTGGTTTGTTGTTTAGGTGAAAAGGCAGAGGATGATGTAGGAATTATGACGGCTTGACTTTGTAAGTTGTAGAGACGAAGACTTTGTACAGATGAACTTAATTATCTTGTTACTTGGGAAACCAAAATACCTACCCAACCAGCCGGGCAACCATCATCTTTATATATATATCACAGCAACCCCTCGCCCCCTTTGCAAAAAGAATGGCATCACTCGTCACATATCCAGCACGTTGTTTGCGGATAAGCCGCCCACTCGGGGTTCCTGCTCGGAAAAAAAGCTATCAATACGAAGTGATCGACACGAATTAGCTGGGCCCGAGCAGCGAAGATGCGGTATTCGCCAGGAGGGACTTCAGCTCCGCCCTGTTTAGCGCAGCGCAGCTCGCGGTCCTAACCTAGCTCGTTCGTTCAGTTCGGTTCCTCCACCGCCTCGTAAAATATAACCAAACCAAACCAAACCAAACCAAACCCGGCGGGAAGGGTCCCTTACTTTTATGCGCGTACCTAGGGTAACCATGTGGCCTATCGAGTTGGTTGTACTTCGTACATACCTACGAGATGTTCTGTTGCACGTACTTAAATATAGATACCTATGTAGGTGCATAATAATAAGTTGGTACCTAACCTTTGCGTGTGCCGCAATGCCGGGTCATTCGGTTGGTTTAGAGCTGATGTGAGTTGCTTTATTCAAGTTCGGGCTCACAAAGGGCTGAAGACTACATACCTAACCTAACGGCCGGCCGGCCGCATCGCTGGTCTGTTCGTATGCCGTCAGGAGCTCGATATAGGTACAGGTCTGTAGGTACGTACTTTCTATCGTATCACGTCTCGTCGACGTCATGTCAGGTGTCTAGCAGCAAATGAGGTTCTGTTAGGAGTTTTTATTACCTAATGCGCTTGTAAGGTTTCTTAGTACGTGGTATGCTGGGGACATGCGCTAAAAGGCGCTTGGCCGGCAGCTAATGAGGCTGTCTAGGGGACAGGTACGACGCTGTTTTTAGCATCTCATCTGCCGCCCGGCATCACTAAAACACTGCCGGATCTCCCTTTAGCTTCTTTTTAATGGCTAACATCTATCTTCTAGGCACCGTCATTATCGTCACTATTCCATGCGCATACGAAGTAGTGTATAATATGTTATTAATTATTAATCGAGAACCGAAATGAATTTCACGCTATGATCTTATGCAATTGCTTCCTTCCAGAGACTGAGTGAGCATTATCCCCCTTTAATGGATATCGATACGAATGGAGACGCAACGTGACATTGACAACGAGCTTTGCTAATATAACTACCTCCTAAAGTTTCCATAAACTCGGAGCAAAATGCTTAATTTGACTTCACACGCACACATGCTCTTAGTGAAGCATTCTTGGTAGCCGCGCAATGGCTCTATCCCGACATTCCATCAACTGTCAGGCATTCAGAAGTAAGATAGGGTCACGGAGAGGAGACACACCAGCGGTACCTACAAGCACGTCACAAGTTTTACAGCTAAAGACCTTGCGAAGACACCAACTAGATGATGGTCAGGAGGCGTGGTCGTGATATTCTCAGCTACCTAATCTGAGTAGTAGAATGTACCAACGCAACATTCCTTAAGCTAAGTATTCCTCCGCAACTTCCGGCACGCAACGAGGAGAATCTACCAAATATAAGTATAGTGATTATCAATCATGGCATCTTGTCTTACTATTTGTGCTTCGGAAGTTCTACCAGTTCGACAGCCAAATCTTTGATTCGCTGGGAAATAAACTCAACATCATCACTGCAATAAATAAGTTAGTTATCAAGGAGAATAGTTGAATCCATTACAAGCTACTATTGGTACTTACTCGCCTGAGATACAAGTAGCAGTTATCACGCTCGATTCATGGATATCAACCTTCAGCTGATTGCGGCATTCATCGATATGAGTGTGAACAGCAGCAAGGTGATTCTCTAGCTGTTCGAGACGGGTATTTAAGCGCGCCTCCATGTTTCGGATATCGTCGCGTAGTCCGTAGATGATGCTCATAAGCAGAATGCAATCCTGCATTGCGGGCATAGCAGGGCGCGCCATTTCGGTCGATGGGGTTGCATGGGAGTTAGATTGGGATTGAGAAGCCATGATGAATTAAGTACCTAGGTAGGTATGTATAAAACTATCACGAGGCTGAAATCAGGAGGCGGGATTGTTGATGATGATGTCCTAGAGAACCAGAATATCCTCGCAACATGCTGCAAGGCTCCTACTTATGCTACATGAAGGGCCTGACTTAGGTACCTACCTAGGTACCTAAGGAACCGAATCAGGAGGTTGTCTGGTCTGCCAGGCAACAGACCAGATAACCTCATGATCCCCATAGCAACCACGAGTCAATAAATTCTTATATCTTTCAGGCGGCCACATCAGATTCAGGTACTCAAATCACAACCAATGACGAGAAACACGTCAGTCTCACGACTGCGTACGATATATCAACCCCCTCAAACAGCCCCCAACTATAGTAGTATTAACTCGTCATATCTCTCACTTCTACTTTACCTCTTATTTAACTACAAATCTAGAATATCACGATGTCGAACGCATATACTCGCCTTTCAGCTGGTAGCAAGGCCTCCACAAATAACAGAACGATTCAAGATCAAATTCTTAAACAAGAGGGCCTCATCAACGCTAGGCAACACCGCTTGACATTACTACTAATTCCTAATACATACGGCATTGTCAAAGGCAAGGGAAGTCACATATGGTAGTTGTCACGAGATGCAACTAGAAGTCATTGAAACAACTTCGTTGTTCCGCAAGGAACTCTAAACCTACCTAATTATAGAAGCCTACGACTATATATACTAAAAGTACCCTTTACTCTGTATGTCTCATCTAGAATCCAAGCAATAGTTATATTGCTAACTATATATATTCTTAGCTTAGCTGACTTATCACTGGCTCTCGATCACATTTAGACAGAGCTTGTGGTAATGTTGTTGAAAAGGGGAAGCTTTTTTCGGATACCTCTGGGGTCCTTATGAGGCCGGCGGTTCTTCTTTCGGTGAGCCCCTTTCGTTATTTTCCCTTAACAAGTCAAAGCAAGATGCAGTATGGCGGACATTACTCGACACACAAAGTCCTAGGATACATCTTATCTATACTTCGGCCCCTTGAATATTAGATAGCTCAGCATGACTGCGGAATTTCAGCTCAATCAGGGCTGTGTTCATTCCTCGAGATTTTGAATGGACCTCTAACTCTACATTGAATTATCTATTAGTCCTTCTTCTCGAAGATTTCTTGGGCTAGAGAATGATCGCCGCTTTCTAAAGCGTCGATTTGGAACTCCGCATGAACAACTCCTAATTTCGCTGCTTCTTTGACAGTGAAGGTTCCATAAATATCAACTTCGTCGTACTCGCCCATCCCCTCGACGGGGAACAGCTTATTAAGACCAAAGAAAATTATCGCGCTCGTAAAAAACCCTGAGTAGAAGTAAAATGTTAGAACTTGGGGCGATACTCTCGTTATACGCCGACTACACTCACCTATGAAGAATGCCATGAAGTATAATTCGCTTAGAGCTTTAGGCGCATCGGCATCCTGCTTGACAGTGGTGATCAAGCCGCCGATGGTTGGGGCCCAGCCACAGATCCATGCTATGATCGCTCGCCAATTAACACCATTCCAGTACCAGTATGATGAGCTGTTCCCGGAGTATAAATGCGACAACCGGATTTTACGTCCACGTAAAAAGAAAAAGTCGACTGCCATTAAACCGATCATAGGCGACAAGAAAACAGAAAATGAACTTAAGACCTGGATGAATGTGACGGCCCTATTCACGAGTTGCCAGGGTTGGACAATCCAAGCGGCAATGAAAGTGATGATAGCACCTCTTCGTATGTCGATGTAGCGTGGCCATAACCCGGCTAGATCAATGCCACCGGATACCGCATTACCGCAAATGTTCTCAAACATGCTAGTTAACCCAAACCCGAATGCGAGGAA